TGCCCACCTAATCACCCCTAACCACCTCTGCCTTGGCCCCCACACCCAGGCTTCCCTCCCTCTGACTGGCTGTAGATACCTGGGATCCCGGGCAGCTCAGCCCAGGCTGTCTGCAGGCACCCAGGACCCCGAGCAGCTCGGCCCAGGCCAGCCACAGGCACCTGGGGCCACGGGCAGCTTCGCCCGGGCCCAGCTTTTGTCAGGAAGGACGTCAGAAGATGTCTGGTCTAATTAGCATGTTACCCTTTTATAAGTATAGATTATAATTACACTAGTGATCTGGTGCACAAATTTGTGCACACTGAAAGAAAATTAATTAGAAGGAATATTTTAATATCGCTCTTCACTCTTTCTCTATACTACAAGTGTCAACCAAATTCACGATCGACAATGACAGATTGAAACACATGCGTGTTGACTGGCGCCAGTGAGAGCTTTATATGTATCAAGCATGTTCGAGTCAACTTAGCCTTTTATAAATACAGAATAAACTTACTTAATTAGACCAGCTTTCTGATTTAGCTAAACTTTTTCCAGTCCAGTGAAACACCCCAACTTCTCTTTCAGGTAATTGTCAGCAACACAGCAGTAAATTATTGTAGATTATTATTGTAGATCACGCAGGGAGAACAAAGGGTAAAATATTTAACTGCAGCAGTGTTTGACTATATTCTGCACAGTGAGAAAACCTGAAGTAATTTTCAAGTTCCACCATTTCTTACTTCTTTTCAGTAAGGTCAAGTTTCTAAGTTTTCTAAATCTCCGTTTTTCTGCTAATGAAAAGAAAATAGGATTCCACTGAGTCTCCTATCTACCTACTTGAGGACTTTTGTGAGGATCAAATGAGATGAGGCATGGAAAAATACTTCACAGACATGTGGTTAAATTGTAAAATGTTTGCACTTGGCTATAAAGCAAGTTGTGTGCCTAGGCTGGAGAAACTCCAAGGAGGCTAGCCACTAGGGAGAGGAAGCTGGGCATTACTATGTGATGTCATTACCCAGCGCCCACAGCAACCATATCCAGGCTGGGCTGAGCTATGTGACACATTTTGTGCCATGGGGTCTCAGCAGTGACAACTGCAGTTTGGTGGGCTGTAGCTCCAGGGTGGTGGCGAGGCCTGTTTGTGGAAAGCTGAGTGTTCCCTCCTATATTGAGTGTCTGCCTCCTGGTGGTCAGTACGCATCATAGCTACCAGTCAGACAGATACTTAGCATATTAGCCTTTTATATGTATAGATATGTATGTAACCATTTGTTCAATATGCTTCCCCTGCCCAACTATATGTGTCATGTTATCTTGTTCACTGTTCCCTCCTCAGGTCCTGGCATATTATAGATGCTCATTAAGTGTAGCTTGAGTTTGGCTGAATGAACAATGAACAGAATGGTTTATATAGCAGGTACTCAACAAGTTTTTGAACTTTAATTCAAGTTAACCCTAGATAGATACTCTGACTGGGCTTCAGAGATGGAAACCTGAGTTTGCAGAGATTATGTCTCAATATTATAACCAAGAAAAAGTCTACAGTGTACAATAGGAGACAGTAATAAAAACATTCATAAAAGTACACTTTATGATAGCAAAAACCTAGGGAAAAAAACACAAATGTTCAGTGACAAGAGAATGAACAACTATGTATGGCATAGTCACACAAATATTACACAGCACTGAAAATGAATGAGTTGCAGCAGTATGTAACAATATGAATCTTAGTAATACAATATTAAGTAAAAGTAATAATCCATCAAAAATTACATGCAGCAGTATTTTTATAAGGTAAAAAAAAAAAAAAACTCTAAAATTTAAAAAATAATATAGTAGTAATAAATGCCAGATAGCTCAGTTGGGTAGAGCATCATCCAAATACATCAAGGTTGTGTGTTCAATCCCTGATCAGGGCACATTTGAAAAAAATGAGAAAAAAGAAAAAAAATGTACATATGAGAAAAAAGAATGAGGCATACCTTGGGAGAGGGTGGAATGGGGATGGATCACAGTTAGAGTTTAGCTATTGCCTAAATCTTAGCTTTCATGTTCATGAGTCCTTATGGTAATACTATAAGTAAAATGTGTCCTGGGCATGGAGCAATGAAGAGAGTGAGCCATAAACCAAGGTTATGATTAATCTAATCCTGTGTACCTGACATCCATTAAAGGATGTCAGGAGCCTTGCCTGTTTGGGAGCAATGGGAAAAGATCCTTCTCTCCCATCCCTCACTGGGACTTTTTTCCAGGGACGGACCCAGGTTCTTCTAGAGAGGTGAACTGGTGGCACAAAGGTGCGACAGCGGGAAAGAGGAGTAATCCTGAGTTTAGCTACTTCAGGAAAAGGATCCCAAAATTGATGGGGAAATGGCCCCTTCCCAAGGCTAGAGTAGGAATCTGGAGGTGCAGGTCAACTTCCATTCCCATTCAGCTTCCCCCAGTACCCAGGTTAAAAACTGCAGGGTGTGTAGTTTCCCACCCATTTCCTGTTCTGCTTCATTGAAAACCTCAGCGTGGGGGTGGGGAGGAGTTTCATAAGTGGGTCCTGAGAGAATGGGACTGTGGTCACAGGGTAGACCGTCATTGTAAGCATTTGGGGTACTGGGAACTGAAATAAGCAGGGGCCAAAACCAGGATCTTTGAAGGGACCACTGACTTAAAACTTTTTTACACATTGCTTTCCTTTCAGCCTGGCCCACAACATGCCTGGGTCTTCAATACTTCCTACCCCTCACCTCCCTGCCTTCCCTTCATCCAGGCTCTAGTTCTTAATCCTATACCTTCACCTCTACATCTACCAACCGCCCCCCCCCCCCCAGCATAGGCCCTTCTTTAGGGGGGGGGGGGGAGGAAGAGATGGGGAGAAGTCCTGGGAGGGTAGCTTAGAACTTTTCACCCGGATGGGACTTGAAATCAGATTGAGCTGGTTTGGGCTGGCTAGGCTGGAGACTTACCTTTGGGAAAAGGGAATACAGGCTAAGGCTAGAATGGGCTAAGAATATTGAAAGGGCTGGAGGTTAAGCAGTCCTAAAAAAGTGGGGCTAGAGGTCAGGCTGAATTGCGCTGGGATAGGAAATATGGGGAAAGAGCTGAGCCCAGACTGAACTGGGAGTCTGGGATTCAGGGCCTGTGCCTCTGCAATGGGGACTAACTGGGCTAAAACAAATTTTTCTGTATCATGTTGGCACCTGGGGCAGGACCCTCATCTGCTCCTGAAAACAGAAGAGGATGAGGGCCTTGAAGGGACTCTCCCTTCCCCTATCTCAGCGATTCCTCTTGACCAAGGTCCTTCCTCAGAGAGGTTGCTAGGGCCAACGGGGAGGAGCCAGATCTGCGGCTCCAGAGGAAGTCCACTGGCTACTGTTTCCTGAGTTCAAAAGTGGGTCCCCCAGTCTTTCCGACACACTCCCTTCCTCCAAGCAGGGCAGAGTCCACGCCTGGCAATTCACTTTTTTTTTTTAATTTCCCCACCTCCTCCAAAACACACACACACACACACACAATGAACCTTCATATGCCAACCCAGACACACAACTGCTGCCTCAGCAGCCCCCCAAACCCAACACATGCTGCTAAGCCATGGATTTGTTTCTGTATTTGAATGCATTCTCATTTCTGAATCCGTAGCCTCCCGCTCACATCCAGCAGTCATGCCTTCTCTGCCTTGTTCAGAACCATATCCCTAGCACCTAGAGTTGTTCCTGGAAACTGAAGAGAGCTGATTGAATGGATCCACTAAGCACACATACCATAAACAAGTGCTACACTATCCCACATATTCACATGCACCTGTTCCATGACCTACACCTAAGGCCTCTCCCACTCATCAGTCACACATATACATACAATGGCACACACGCAGGCAAAAATGTTAGATGTACACCTAGTACCAGACAGACACACTGCAAGTAGGTGTTACCTAGCACTCTCAGGGTGAGTTGGTGGCAGCAGCTGTCTGGCCAATGTCCTTCAGTCAGGTCAGGCCTGCAGAAGGAGTGGTGTGTTTGTGTGTAAGTAAACGCAGGCTTTGGGGTCCTGAGGCACTGGGCAACAAAGAGCTGGGCTGGCAGCAACCAGGGCTAAGATTCCTCCTGAATTGGAGAGGGAGTGGGGTAGGCTGTGAAGTGCTGTCCCCTGGTTTCTTCTGCTAGCTGGGAGGTGAGGGTAGAGACACAGGTCCATGAGGTCTTACTTCAGATCCAGAGAGACCTCAGTGGGGGAATAGTCTGAGGCCTCAGGTTCCCCTGTGTGGGATGAAAATGAGGGACACTGGGTGGGGGGCTTTGTAGGTACTGAGACCCCATTCAGAATCCACAGTAGGGTGTCCCTGTCTTGACAATCTTTTTAGTGGTGGGGGAAGAGGGGACTGGAGGTTGGGAGTTACTACCCAGAAGAGTTTAAGGAGTATCCTATTCCTCTTTCCCTCTAGCACCTAGAGTTGCTCCTGGAACCTGAAGAGAGCTCTGTGGAATGTCAGACTGCTCTCTAGCAACACTGCTTAAGCATCCTCCTCTTCCCCTCCCTGCATGCCCCGCCCAAAGCCAGCAAGGAGATAAACAATCCCACTCTCCGACTTGAGACCTAGACAGCTGGGCTGGTTGGCCTCCCTAGTAGTGACCTGAATCTCACTGACTGCGCCTCCCATGAACTCCAACCACCCAAAACTCCTTCAGACTCCGTTCTCAATCCTACCCCCAATAGCCTAATCCAGGGGAGGATATCCCAGGAACCCTGCCTCAGGGCCACCTTTCTGGCAACCCCAAGACAGGAGTGAGGAACAGCTGGGTGGGGGAGGCGGAATGGGGAGTCAACTTTTGAGGGACAAGGGGCCATAATGGGATACATGAAAAGCAACACCAGAATGATGAGGGAAAATATGAGGTGGGAGTAAAAGAGAATTCACAGTCCAATTCATACCTCTTCCCCAGTGACTGGTTTTAGGACTACAGAAAGGAGGGAAAAAGACTGCTTTGGGCAGTCATTTTGGGCACCAATGACCAACCAAGACACGCTCAAACCCAAAAGTCTCTTTATTGATCTGTACCATACATGACTCAAATGGCCAAAAAAAAAAAAAAAAAAAAAAAAAAAAAGGCATTACAGTTAGGGTGGGACATTCACCTTCCCCACCCCCTTCCCTCAGCTCCTGGCACAATACCCTTACAACAGTGGCAGCTAGAGTGAAGGAATCAGGGTGTAAAGGGCCCCAGAATCCAGAAGGAAGAGTAGGGAAGAGTGTGGTACTAACACTTCTGGAACTGTAAGTGGGAAAAGGCAGAGCTGGGCCCACACTCATAGGATCCTGCTTTTGGCCTCAAACTGGGCTCAGAGCTTCCACATGTCCAACTGAAAGAGAACTGAGGATCCTGGAGCCTTCCCCTTCCTTCTATGAGACCAGGAGCTGGAGGGTATTGGGAGATGAAGATCCTCTACTTCAGCTGGCGAACAGAGGCCTATTCCTCCCTGGTGAGCTTAGAGCTGGGACATCCTCAGTGGCTCCTCTATGGAGGGCAGGGGAGGATTAGATACAAAATTTGAGGGATTGGAGGAAGAAAGCACTGGAGAATATGGGTGAACCCCTCCCCTATCCCATGCCTGCCAAACTGAGACAAAACAAAAAACACAGTGACAAACAAGGCTGCTCCCTTCCCGCCACACTCCCTAAGGGAGGGCGCCTCCCCTCCTCCCATCCAAGGCAGCTGCTCTAGTGGAGGGCTTGTAAAGAGTACACATCATGGGGGGAGGGGGCTGGGTTTGAGGGACTCACAAGCACTAGAAGGGCAGGCCAGACTCCTGGAGGATGGGGAGACGGACAACAGCTGTGAGCTGTTACAAAGGTGAGGCCACCAATGGCCCCCTGCCCCATGGCATGCCTTCCCCAACTCCAGTCACCCCCGAGGAAAAGGGAAGAGAGATGGCAAAGTGTCTCCTTGGTCTGAAGCTCTTAAACTATATAAAATGATGTGTAACCCCCACACTCACCTCCACCTGGACCCTAAGCCCCCCATCTGCCAGGAATAGGGAGGTAGCTGGACTTCTAATAAGGGGAAGAGGGGGGACATGAGTGATTTTTTTTTTAAACTTACATTTTTAATAATATTATTTTTTTTAAAAAAAACGTGAAGCTGGGAGGTGGTAAAAGGGAGGGGCTCAAGAGTTTTACCCCCCTATTACCAGCCACCTGGGTGAAGGGCCTGGGGGAGGGGTGCTCAACCAAGCTCCATACATTTAAGTCCCTAGGAGCTGTGGGTACAGACAACCCCAGGCTTGAAGGGGGCAGAGTCAGGAGGATGGGGGACCCAGAACCTGGGGTGAAGATGGAGGCAAATGCTCTGGGGGTGTTCAGAACATTTCTCAGAGGCCCAGGGTCCTGGTAGGCATCCACATGAGTACCCTCCTTCCCCCAAAAGGCTCTGAAGAGGCCAGGCCCAGCCCAGGGCCACTAGGGGGCAAAGCTTGGCACCTGCCCCCAGCGAGTCCAGTTCCTCCCTGAAGTGGGTGGATGAAGGCTGCCCATTTCAGATGCTCAGTCTCTTCATTCTGTCTTCTGCTCCCTGGGGCTTCGAGGGGTGGGGCAGGTGGGCAGAGCGCTGCGTGGCCCTGGTGAGGAGGCCTTTACTGGGAGGCTTGTGACGTGGGGTTCTCCGATTTGCTCTCTTGGCTGGAGGGAGGCTTGCTGTTCCAGGGGCTGTTGGCGCCCAGGGCAGGGGAGTTGTTAAAGCTGTCCTCGTCGTCAATGCCGTTGGCCGCGTCAAACTGGGTATTCTCCAGCCGGGTGATGAGCCTCTCGTCCTCGTCCCCGAACTCCCCGCCCATCAGGGTGGGCTCCCCCACCACCATCACATCCTGAGAGTGGCGGAGGTCCCCAAACATAATCGGGGCAGGGGCTCGCCCGACCCAGGGCGGCAGAAACCCCCAGAACCCCAATACCCACCCAAGAAACCCCACCCCCTCCGCCCCCTTCTCATACCCCAATTTCAGACATCGACTCCTCTATCCCTCAGAATCTTTCCCACTGAAGGACTGCGGAACATCACACCCTTTAACCCACATCCACTAGGATCTGGAAAGTCAATTTACTCCCCTGGCTCCCTATTCCACCTCCCTCCCATTTTAGGTGGCTCCTAAACTTCTGTCCACATGTGGGAGAGGGATCAGATAAAAAACACCAATAGGGAAAGAATGTGCATGTGCATGTCGGTGTGTGGTAGATTCACACGTATTGCGGCTGCATGGCCCTCTATCAATGTGAATGTGCATGTCTCTGATGGTCTGTGTGTCCCTAAGCTGTCTGTCCTGAACGTCCGTATGTTATCATGGCTGACTCTGTCCCCTTTATATCTGTATTGTTCTGTCTGAGTCTGTGTGACCACAACTGTGCATGTGACTAACAAGGACTATCATCAGTGATAAGTGTCAGCCATGCTGGCAGAGTACACTGGTAAAAACCGTCTGTGCTTCTATGTCCACTAGTGTGCTCACAATGGGACAGGGTCAAGGGTCAGGGTCAGCAGTGGGGCAGCCCAGAAGAGAGAAGAAAGCCGAGATGCTTACAGGTACCTGGCTGGAGAGGGCGAAGGTGCTGGCTGGGCTTTTCTTCTTGCTGTTGCTGTTGTTGGTATTGCCACCCCCCGAGCTCATGGTGCTGCCCCCTGACATCTTCCGTTTCCGCCGTTTGCTGGGCTGCTGCCGGGCGGGCTCCGCTGTGCCAGAAAAAGGAAACTCAGGTGGGGCAGGGTTCTGTGCCCCTGGCTCCCTATTCTGGCTCCTAAGGAGCCTGAGCCTAGCCTGATCCCAATCTTGCAGACCCAGGGCCAAGACAAGGGCTTCATGAGAAGAAACAGCCTTGGAGGATGGCATCAGATCCTGGTAAGAACAGGTACAGGTGCAAGGCACTCACCGGGGGGTGCCACCATACGCTGCCACTTCTGGAAAAGGCAGGTCTTGAGGCAGTCGCGAGGGCTGAGGCTGTAGGTCTTGTGGCGGGACATGAGCTCCTGCATGGGCTCGAGTATCACACAGAGCTGTAGGGAGATCAGAAGCGGGCTTTTCAGGGGAGGGACATGGAACTGAGACCAAGTGGAATAGGCCAGAGACTAGGCGAGCAGACTCACTCGGAGGTAGTTGAGAGTGGAATTGGACAGCCCACAGCGTGTGATATTTTTGGAGAGCTGATCCAACATCTGGGGGTCCTGGGCCTAGAGGCGGAGAAAGACAAGAATACTAGCACTTGGGATGCATCTGCTCTCCTGCCCTATCATCTGAGCCTGTGACACTCCTGAAAAAGAAGGGCTAGTATTCAATAATCTTTTAAAATATATTGATTTTTTTACAGAGAGGGAGGGAGGGAGATAGTTAGAAACACTGATCAGCTGCCTCCTGCACACTCCCTACTGGGGATGTGCCCACAACCAACGTACATGCTTTTGACCAGAATCAAACCTGGGACCTTTCAGTCTGCAGGCTGATGCTCTATCCACTGAGCCAAACTGGTTGCGGAATCAATAATTTTTTTAGGTGGAGAAACTCTAACCCTCTCAGGTAGGTCACTGACAAGAAATGGCAGACCTTATTCCATCCCTCCCACTGTCTGCCTTCCCCCTGTCTTGGGTTCTGCCCACACTCACATGCATGGCAAGGATGCTGCGGGGGATGAGCTCCCGGTGCTGCCGGATGCTGAAGTGCCACGTCTTTATCCGCATCATGTCATCAAACATGAACTCCAGGTACAACCGCCCCTCCACACATACCTGGAGACAAGGTTGTCACAGCTCTGCCCCCACCCCATACCTGGAAGTATACCTGTTCTCCCATTTGCTCATAACTCCCTCCTGCATATACTTCTGCAACCTGCACCTGAATCTGGGTAATTGACATGGACTATCTCCTCACATACCTGTCACACCCTTGACCCTTACACAGAACACATACATGGTAGAAATGTTTAACTGATCCTGTCTTCTCCCATGTAGCTAGTGATACACTCATCTGCTTTAAGCTTCCTATGAAGGCAGGCTCTTGTTCACTTAGTGTATATACCACCGTGGCCTAGAATAGTCGTCATGTACCAACTTAGTAAATGCCTGCTCAATGCTGCAGTACACCTGCCCTCCCTTCTTGTCTGATCACTTCCCATTATGCCTCCTTGGGGAAGAGCAGAGTACATTTTGGGAAAGAGGAAGGAAATCAAACTCAGGTGCTTCAGCATTCCACATCCAGCTGGATTGCTGACCTGGGTGAACATGGGTTTGCCGTGCTGGGTCACCATGCTGCCCTGGTCACAGTCGAGGGACACAAAGTTGCTGTGGAATGCCTCCTTGGGGTGCTTAAGCACATAGTACAGCTCTGTAGCACCACCCTCAAAGATGCTGCGGAAGTAGCGTGGGATCAGGGTCCGGCCAATGGCTGCAGAGATGGGAAAAACTCTTTAGAATAGAAGGACCTCAAAAGGGGTCAGGCAGATGCCACCCCTGCCAAAACAGATAACCTGAGACAAATATCCACTCCCAGACCTTAGAAGGACACAGGAGGTACACACTCCCACAGCAGAACTGGCAGAACCCTCAGAGGCCACTCACTGTATCTCTTTGGTCCATCCTCCAGACAGAAAGTGATGGTTAGCATGGCATCATCCTCAAAGAACTCAGTTGTGAAAGCATCCCACCAGAGATTGTCACACTCCTAAGAGCACAGGGAGAGGTATGTGTGTGTATCAGAAGATATCCCACAAGGGTGCCCAGATGGCCCTCACCCTCTTCCTTCCCCTGGATACCTCTGTCCAGTTCTGAAGCCGTTTGTTAAGCTCGAATATTCTGTAGTCAGTTTGGTTGCCATATGGTGTGTGCCTTCTGGGGTAAGTGTAGAAGAGAAGTTAGTAGGAGCAGTGCCTCCTCCCCACCCCCACCTCTGCCTTCACCCATGTAATAGGAAGTACCTCCCACCCCATTGGACTCCACTTACCCAATCCCAGGCTCCAGGTATGTAGGTGGGTACATGGGAGTTGGGCTGTGTAAGGGAAGAGGCTATGAGAATGGGGGTGGAAGACAGGAATTATTGGGAGATGTCACTCCCTCCCCCTTTCAGGCAGGATTCCATCTGGAGAAGGGATGAGAAGTGAACAAAACTCACCCCACATCCCGATCTAGCATGGTGCCGGGATGGAAGGGAGGGAAGGCGTTGCCGTTCGGGGGCTCCTTCGGTGAGTACAGCTTGAATGACTTTGAGGAACAACCTAGAATGGAAAGGAAGAATGCCCCTTAGGAGCTTTCCTAAAGTTTGCTAGACTGTGTGGACAGTGAACCAAGGGAGGGGGACTACCCTAGGAAGTATCTATCTCTGCTTTTAAATCTGGTTCCAATCTTATTTTATTAAGAAACTAGAAGTACCCAGGCCCAATATCCAAGACCTTATTTCTCCATGTGACTGAGGCCTGGATGATAAAATTGAAACTGGGAAGAAATGTCAATACCATAGAATAAATAAATATCCAAACATTACAACCTAATTTTGATAAACCCCCTTTTCAACTACATTATTTTGTTCAATCATCACAATCACGGTGTGAAGTAGCAGGGTCAACGGTAACATTCCCATTTTACAGACTAGGCAATTGAAAGCTCAAGGGGATTTGCCAAGATCATAAAGCTAGGATTTGAGCCCAGATCTTCTGATTATTCCCATATCTGGCAGTATTTTTACCTTTCTGTTCCCTCTGAAGAGCAAGTTGTGGGAGAAAGAAAGGGAATCTGGCCAACTCCCTGCCCCTCCTCCACAGCCAGGGTCTCAGGAGGGCAGGGGATGGAAAGATAAAGGGGGGTGGGTGCCTGCTGGGTGCTGAAGACCAGATAACCACTTGGGCCTTCTGTCCCACCCCCCTCCAACGGCCACTCCCTTATCAGCCAGCCCCCTCCCTCACACCTACCACCAACCTGGTATTGTCTCCAAACCAGAAACCCAAAACCTCAACCCATTTTGCCTTTGAGACTTACAGTCACTGAATCTTGCTCAACTTACAAAAGGAAAAGAGGAGGCCTAGGACTAGCTTCCAGGAGGCTCCATCTAAGAGGCAGGTGGTAACTAGACAGGGATCTCTGCTTGTATCTGTGCTCCTGCATACGTCTCCTCTCCACCTCACCCAGCAGCACTGGTGCCTAGTGAACTATTCTACCTAACTGGAAGATGTGTTATATTCATAGTTGAGTATGAGCCAGGTGCCCCTGCAATGCTACTTTCCCTCTCCCTACAAGATGAGGGGAAACTGAGGCACCACTCCAAAGGTCCTGACCCCAGTTACAGGTACTTCCTCGTCCCCAGACTTGACTACATTTGGGAGGGTAGCTGTACTGGTTGTGTCTGAGCCTCCTCCTCAATTTAGACACAAAATCTACTTTGTCCTTAGGGGGAAGAGACAAAGGAAGACCCTGTGCCAACGTGTCATTTAATTCTCTCCCCAGGGATCTTCCTCACAATACAGGCAAAAGTGGGGTCCCAGAAGGGCCTACACGATACAGTCCCTGAAGAAGCCAAGAGTCAGAGCCTGTGTATGCCTGCACACATATGTGCCTCATCTTGCCTAGCAGGCTTTCTACCCTCAGCTCGCCCCAACATGCCTACCAAGGGCTGGATCCAGCAGCCCCAGGCAGGATCAGGATGCCCAAAACAGGCCCTCGCCCCATGCATGAGCTCACACAGGCCACGTCCGTATGTTCCCATCACAGCACACACAGCCTTTACATGCCTGTCTGAACTGAATGAGCCTGTGTCCTCAAGAAAAGGGACAGTCCCACCCAGCCCCAAGTCTTCCCACTCCACAGACAGGTAGACCAAAGCCACGTAGGAAGCCCAAACTCACACAGCTCACCACGGGCAGGCCAGGCCTTAACTAGGCCCACCCTTCCCCCCAAAAGCATCACTGCTCTTGCCCTTAGTCCCAGGGCCACTTGGAGAAATGTGTCAGCTCAAGATCCTAAAAAGAAGGGAGGCAGGACACCTGGGTTCCTCTTTAATTCTGGAAAAAGTTTCAGAACTTCAATTTCTCTCACTAGCACACTGACAGGCACTAAAGAGGAAAAATTCAAAAGGTCGGTGGACTCTATTTACACCTCCAGTGAATGGACACAAAAACTCAGCACCTCCCCAGAGGCATAGCAACTCCCAGTAGCCCCAGCACAAGGGCCTGGGAGAGAGAAGAGGAGGGGAGGGAACATCACCCAGACCATCTGTCCCTGCTGCTGCCTGTCCCCAGCAGCAGGGGTAGAGGGAGCAAAGAGGGGGTGGGGGTGGGGATGAAAGGGACGTGTCATCCAGTCTTGGAGTCAAACATAGCCCCTTCCCATCTCTAGCAATCTGGGAAACCTTAGGAAGGAGGAGAAAGGAAGAGCCAGGAACTAGTAAAGTTTTCTCAGGATGGAAGCTGCATCTTAGGGCTGAGGGGGGCACCTCCAGCTGGGCATTTCCATGGTAACCGGCCTGACTTGAGGGCAGGCTCCCTCCCTTTGGGGCTGACCAGAGGTCAGCAGGCCGGGGAGCCCTGGCCTCTCTGAGTGGAGGCACCTCTTCCCCAGCCAGCATACCAGGCCAGGGCCAGACCCAGCACCTTCTACCCACCCCCTACAGGCTTGCAGGGCGCTCAGACTTACCTGGGAGAACTGAGGGGCCCAAGAGAGGTGCGGGGAGAAACTGGCAGCCCACCAGGGCTCTGGCAGGGGTGAGGGCTGAAGGGGGGCCAACTTCAGCCGCTCATGTCCCAAGTGGGACGGGCAGGCCTGGCTGGGAGCTCCACTCTGCGGGCCGCACAAAGACTCGCACGCACTGCCTGGGCCTGCCCCGTGGCGGCCGCAGCCCCGGGGGAAAGTTATAATGGCCACTGGGCCGGGGGCCGGGGGGCCGGCCTGGGGGGCGGGGGACTGCGGGGAGTCCGAAGCCTTCTTTGTTTGCGAGGTTTCCCTCAACAATGGCTGCTCCGCTCTCTCCTCTCTCCTCCTCCTCCTCGGCTCTCCCCGCCGCCGCCTCTCGCAGCCTCTGCCTCCAAGCAGCCCACCCGCCCTCCCCAGGCCAGCAGGCCCCTGTGCCCGGGCACCAGGAGGGGCAGCGCACGGCACTCACACACACTCACAATCGCACACGCACAGACACACAGCGCCCACCAGCTCACAGCCTTTCCTCCCTTTCTTTCCCTCCCTCCCTCCCTCCCAGCTCGCTCTCGGAGCCTCTCTCAGAATGAGGCCCCAGGGCGGGCGGAGGGTGGAGCTGCCCCCACCGGCCCCGCCCCCTCCCAGCCGGGGAAGAGGAAGAGGGAGGGCAAGGGAGGGGGGAGAGAGGGAGGCAGGCAGGCAGGCAGGCCTGGAGGACTGCTGAGAAAAACAAAGAGAGACAGAGACTGGGAGAGAGACTGGGACACGGAGAGATGGAAACAAAACAGGCTGGGCCTGCAGAGACCTGGGCAGAAGGGGAGCCTGTGGGGCCAGGAACTGCAATGTTTCACCGACCCCTCCCCAACTCAGGTGTGCAGCTCAGGAGGGAGCAGGGCAGCCAAAGCCACAGGCAGGCGTGGAGGAGGGTGCCCTCCCCTCTGGAGACTTCCAGGATCTTCCAACGGCCTCCCAAAGGCGCCCCAAGTCCCTCTCCCGCTCCTCTGTGATCTCTCCGGTCTGGGCTGCCACCCCAGGTGAAATCCCAGAGCAGGCAGGCCGGGGAGACTCCAGGGGGTTACTTTTGACAGAGATAGACTCTGACTACTGCCCGTAAACACTGATTAGAGGGAGGAGGACACTCCAGGCTCCTGGGCCCCCAACCCAGCTAGGTTCCAAGCCCTGACTGAGATCAGCCTTAGCAGGAGGCCCCTTCCTCCTCCTCCTCCTCCATTACCACCATCATCATCACCACCACCAGAGACACGTGGGTGCAGGGGAAAAAGGCCTGTCAGAGCCAGGAAAGCCACGCTTGCCCAACCAAGAGTCTATAGGAGGGGCTTAGTCTGAGGCTGAATCCTCCCCCACCTCCCAGGAAAAAAGAGATATGTAGTTACTGGAATAGAACCTGTTCTCCATGGCAAAGGGTAACCCCAAGAGAGGAGGTGCTTCTAAAACTTGGGTAGACCCTACTCCCTGGCCAGATAGGAAAAAAGAAACACACACACACACACACACACACACACACGCTAGAGGGGGCAGCGTATGATCTCCTACTTCAGTGAAGGTGGAGTTGCTGCTCCCTGTTTCCTACCCACCCCCACCACCTTCACCCACAGTCCCACGACACACACACCAGTCGACTGTGCAGAAATAATACTGCCCCCGGCTCTGTGAACATCCTCCACACATACATAACACATCTCACTTTCACATAAATCAGTACCTGATGCCCACCTGATACACACCTTTAACCACTGCTATACCTCAAACCCAAATAAACCCAAACCCAAGATGCTCATACATAGTCTATTAAAGACCCTGACTTCCATACACACTGGGACTAGTGACACATATTCCCCTAACCCTAAATATACACACCAAAAGTGCATTATATACCTCCTGGACTTGTGACAGACTATTACGTACATGTACTGACCATTTGTTATTGGGGGTTGAACCCCATAAACCACACTTCCTGAAACCTGCGCGGCACTCTCCGTCACAGCCTGGCCGCGACACGCCCGGCTTTCACAAACATCCCCGGCTTTCACAAACATCGAAGAAATCTGTGACATTCAGCCAGACCCAGCAGAATACTGCCCGCACCAGGATTCGAGACATTCCCATTGACTCCCAAATTTGCCATTCAACTCTGGGATAACCACACTCCTCCCCCCACTGACAATTCCTGTCATTTGTGTGGTGCCTTTAAACTTTCCAAAGTGCATTCACAGGCAGTACCTCAAGAAATCCTAACAGCACCCAGAGCCAAATACCACCCTAACTAGAACAGACAGGAGGGCCTGAGCTGGAATCCTGGATTTCTAACCTCACTCATCCAAGCCCAGCCCTAAAGCACTGAAGCCATTCCTATTCCCCCTCCAAGGAATGTCTATTCTAGGCCCCAAATGCGTGTCTACGTGCAAAGGAGTACAGGTATGTGCTCTGGCTTCTGCTCCAGTTCAGAGCTCAGAACCCTGACTCAGTCTGCCTCCTCAAATTTGGGGAAGTGCCCCTGTATACCAAGACATACCAAGGCTCTGGCATATCATCCAAAATGGTCCCCCTCTCAGTTCCTTCTCTAGCAAGTCAACGCCTCTCCATGTTCTGACTTAATTCTCTCACTTGCTCAGGGACAGAAGAGGTCCAGCCACAGAGAGCAAGTCTGAATCTCTGAATTAGAAGGGCCTAAAATGTGGGGTAGGGATGAGCAGGGAGCGGCAAAGAATGACAAAGGTGATGAGGAAAGAGTAGAGGGAGAGCACCCGTCCTGGAGGAGAGAACTCTGAAGGGCAGCAGCCTGCCCCAGCCCAGAGGATAATGGACCAGCACTGCCCCCTGCCCGGGCCCCTGGGGCTCCCTGACCCAGGCCTCCAGTGAGCCTGCCCCCCTTCCTTTGTCTGTGCCCGGCCTCCCGTTGGCCTGGCGCTCTGCCATCCTCCTCTCCTGGCTCCCAGCCGCCACCACTGCTCTCTCCTCCCCTCCCCCTCTCCCTCCCTGCCTTAACCCTTCTGAGCCACATGCTGCCCCAGACAGGCCCTGGCCCCTTCAGCAACCTGCCCTGGCCAGGGTGATGCCCCTTAGCAGAGGGTCTACCTGCTCCTGACCAAAGCCCCAGAAGCTAGTCGCCACCCCAGGAGCACTCTGGGAGCCGAGTGTGTGTATGTGTGTATCTTGTGGTGTGCATGTTCGTGGGTCTGCATGTGCTCTGGCTTCCCTCAGTCACATGTGTGGGGCATGTGCTGTCTCTGCTGGGCTCGGGGAGGAGGAGGAGGAGGAGCTGGGAGACAGCAGAGCACAAAGGAGAGACTCAGACAGGCAGGCAGGCAGCAGGCGGGCGGCCTGCCAGGGCGCCTCAACCCCCACCCTAGGACTGCTCAGGTTGGGTGGTGTTGTGTGTATGGGGGGGGGAGGGTTGTTTTGGGCCTGGACTGTACAGGCTGCCACGATGTCCTTGTGTTCAGCCATGTGCTCCCACCCACCCACCCATGCAAGCCTGGTCCCCTCTCTCAGCCCAACTCCTCTCATTCTCCAGGCCCCTCTCAAGCCCTTCTTCACGTGGTTCTCCTTTAACCTCCATCCATCCTCTGTGGCACCAATCCATCAGACTACTTCATGATCCGTAAAGGATTCCCCAATCTCAGCCATCTTTTGCCCCCTCTCCCACAACCAGGTTGAGACACAAGAAACATGCCTTTTGGGGCACCGACTGAATATGCCCCTCCCCCCAGTTCCACGTCTCGGTGCTGGAGTCCTCTTCCTGTCCCCATGCGGCTACACCAGAGGCTGAGGGGGAAACCTTCTCCCTTCTCTACTGGGGCCAAGCACCCTGTCTCACCTTCAGGGCCAACCTCCCATCTACTCCCAGCCTGACAGCCCCTCCATACCCGTAGCCTACCCACTATTTGTAGGAACTAAGTATCAAAATATAAGACTCAGTCCTCCAATTTGTCCAGAGCCTTAGTTTCTGCTCTGCTCACGTGTGGCAACAGGATCAAGACCATGGGGTGGACTCAGAGCATGAATGGATCCAAACAAGGCACCCAGCATTTTCTTTATAAAGAAAATACACACATAAATATGCACACCAAGCTGGGAGGAGGGAGAATGATGGGGACTGGGCATGATTCCAGCTTAGTAAGCTCTTTCCTCTCCTCTTCCCCACTCTCTGCAGCAGGAGCCAAGGGTCTCCACACGGGGATACTCCAGGATTCTCAGGCTCTCCTAGCCCTCCTTCTGGGCCCCGGGCCCCTTAAACATCAGCCTCAGCAGGCACTTTAAGTGTGTGCCCAGCCCAGTTTGGCCAGGGTCACATGATTTTCAAGGAAGCTTCCTCACTGGCAGCTTCCCTTGGGGATGCGGGGGAGGGGCGGTGGTGGGGTATGGGCCTCCCACAAAACAGAGCATCCTGAGGAGCAAAGGTCCCGAACCAGACTCGATTTGGGGAAACCTGACTTTCAGAAGAAAGCTAACTCCAATCTGGGACAGGAGGGGGTCCTGCAAATAGCTCAAGAACCCAGGGTCCTGAGGTGTCCTGGGGATGTGGACAGTGTTCGAGGCCCTCTGAAGACTGCCTCTCCAGTCACATCGCCTCTCTCCCCCCCCTGGCAGTGAAGGGGAGCCTTCCCTCCCCAGGACAGAACTCAGGTCCAGGCTGTCCTTGGCAAGAGCAGTGTTTTGGGGAGGCAGGCATCTGACCCTAAGTTCTTTCTCAAATTCTTATTTTGGGTTCAAGCATTGCTCTCTTCAACTCCAGCTCTCACAAATCACTTCTAGTTCCTATTCTGCCTGGGGCTCCACATTCCCACTCTCACGAGGGCGGGCGTGCTGGCCCCAGGGCCCAATTATCAGCCCCCCTCCCCCAGGAATACCTCCTGTCCCTCAGGATGGCCAGCCTTCCCTGGCAACAGGCAGGAGATTTTGAAGGGGGGAAGATGGGCCCCCATTAACCCCTCCACCCCAACACGGTGCTCAGAAACTGCCTGGAGGGGGGTGTCACAGGATCTTCAGAGGGAATAGGCAGCAGGGAGAGGGGGGGGCAACCCAAACCAGCCAATCGAAACTCTATGATGACCTGAAGGGGGGGGGTCAAAAGTCCAGACTCACTTCTGATTGGCTAACACCCTGGAATTCTGGGAATTTCAGCCCCCCCAACCCCTCCCCAAGTAATCCCCCCCTAAAAAAAACAAAAAACAAAAAAAAAACCCTACACACAAGCTACCCCCAAACCCTAGCATCCCCTCCCCCGAGCCTCCAGGCTGCTGCGCATTTACCCAGTTGGGGAAGCCCCTCCCCGAGACCAAAGCCCCGCACGCCCCTCACAGCCCCTGCCTCCGCCATGCCATCGACGCCCCCCACACAAGTTCTCGCCAAAACAAGGGGTGAGGGGCCCGCAGAGGGTGAGGGAGGGGCCGGGCGGCCGTGCGCCTCACTCACCAGGACAGGCACAGCCCACTGACATCTTCACATCGCCCGCCGCCGGGGGCCCAGCCGAGTCACGGTGCCCGCCCCGCGCGGGGACAGGCCGGGCATGAGCCGCCGCCGCCGCCCGCGGCCCCTGCTGCCCTCGCCGCCGGCCCCGCCAGGCCCGGCCTCGGCCTCGGCCCCGGCCCGGTGCGGGCGGGCACTGGCTGCGGCGCGGAGCCTGTCAGGCGCGGAGCAGGCAGGAAGGAAGCCGGGCGGGAAGGCGAGCTGCCGCGGCGTGTGTGTGCGCGCGGGCGTGCGTCCTCCGAGTGTGTGTCCGTGTGCGCGCGTGTGCGTGTCCGTGCGCTCCGCCGCCGCCGCCGCCGCCGCCGCCGCCGCCGCTCGCCCCCTCGCGCTCCCTCTCGCTCTCCGCCCTCCCTCCCGCCCGCTATCTCCGGCGCCCGCTCTCCGGCGCGGGCGGGGCGGGGCCGGGCCTCATTAATATGCTAATCGCCCGCCGGTGGGCGGGGAGAGCGTGTCAAAGTGACCCGACGGGCGCGCAGCGAGCGGCGACGTGCGTGCGCCGCGCGGCGGGCGGGCGGGCGGCTGGGGGCCCGGCGCGCTCGGGGGAGGCAGGCATGTGACGCAGCTTTTAAAAAAGGAGACGGAGGCAGAGACCCCGGAGAGCGAGGCAGAGCGAGGGGGAGGGACTAAAGGCGAAGCTCCACACTCCGTGTCGGTCCTCCCGGCGCGCCGCCGAGGCGGGAGTCGTGACGAGCCGGAGCCGGAGCGGGAGCGGGAGCGGGATCGGAGGGGGGGGGGAGGCGCAGGCGGGGTGGGCTGCGAGGTGTAGCTCTCTCTCCACCCCAGCCGCAAACTGGGAGAGGAGACTGATGACCAGCCCCCCCGCCGTGCTCCCTGCTGAGACCCCAGTCTTACTCTGGGGGCCCCTAGTCAAGCGCCCCCGTTCAACCCGGGTGAAGAAAAGAAGCATTATCCTAATTCTTGTGGCAACCCTTCACCTCGCCTCCTCCCTACATTAAACCACCCTCCCTGGCCTGCTAAACCAATTGGGACTAGAGCTAAAAGGGTTAATTAAGTGGGGTCCCCGCCCTCCCCCGCCTGAGGGCCCGGGATCAGCGCTTTCCTGGGGGGAGGGGGCCGAGGAATGACCGCTGGGTCGGACCGGGGAGGTGGGAATCAGCAGGCTGTCCTTCCCTCTCTAGCAGGCTCTGACTCATCAGTCAAGACACTCTCCTCCCTTCCCCACTTCTCCCTCCAGCCTCCGCCACCCCCACCCCACCTCCCGTCTCCCACCTCCCCTCCCCCGTCCCTCCCCTGAAAGCTGCTCTTCTTTGAGGGTCTGGAGGTTGGCGAGAACCCCGCCAGTGTCCCCCTACCCGCAGGGGCTTTGGCCACTGTGGGAATGGGGTGGGAGGGAGGATGATCTGGATGGTCAATGTAAGGAACACTCCTTCCCTAGGGAGGAGCCTCCCAACCTTCAGGCACTCCTCAAGGACTCCCCAACCAGCCGTAGGAGGGGGCTGCTGCATCTCCTCCATCTCCATCCTTTCCCAAAAGCCTAGCCTTAGCTGCCTCATAAACAGGAAATACCTATTAGCCGGGGGAGGGAAGGAAGCCGTCTGGAAAAGAGAATTGGTCCCCTCCCTTTTTTTTGGGGGGGTGGGGAGGGCGGTTTCCCAGCTGCCAGCTTCTCTTCCTTAAGCTTCAGAGTGGGCTGCAGGAGTAGGTGCTGGGGCTCTGAGCTGAGGCCTCTGGTTGGGACTGAGCAGGGGGTCCTCTTTCCCTTTGTTACTTAGAGGGGGATTGATAGCGAAGGTTCCCTCCTGCCCAGTCTGCACAGCTGGTTTGGCTGGGGGAGGGTTACAGATGTGGAGATTTAAGTGTTTATGAGACCCCTTCTCTCCACCTTAGCTTTCGCTGAGGGAGCACGGAATTATGGGAGAGTGAGGATCTGGGGATTGGGAAAAGGACCTTCCTAGGTTTGGGGACCTCTCCCATGTGCTGAGGAGTGTGTTGGAGAAGGGAGCTGTAAGCACTGCCATATACTGCCTCCCCCATTCTCATCTACCTATTTGATTTCGCCACTCCAGCCCTCCCTATTTCCACCTTTTAGGGAGGGTGGGGGGCAGGAGCTGAAGTCGTCCACAGTTACACAGGTATCCTTGACAGCATCCCCTGCCTGTGTCTCCCTCCTGCCTACATCCCCCAGGCAGAGGTCCTCACTAGAGAGGTAAAGGGAACCTAGAGCAACAGAACCCTGACGTGGAACATTGGATTCTTGGGGTTGAATTCCATCTTTGCCCCTCACCAGCCAGCAACCTGAGACAGTTGACTTCCTCACTCCAAGCTTTACCCTCAAGCTTTATTCTCTGTAATTGGTGAGAATCAACTAGGCAATATATGCCCAGTCACCTAGCCCAGTGCGAGGCATGTAGTCAGTATTCAATATACATTAGCCCCTTTCTGATTCCTTTGAAGTTATCTATTATTTCAAGAGTGTCAGGAGTGGACTGGATTAGCTGGAGGATTAGAGATAGAGGGGTGGAGAGGGGCTACCTGCCTTGATTGCTTTCACTCTCTACTGTCTATGAATTTGCATTCATGTTTCCCCTAATCCTGTGACCACTTTTCCCCTAAGGTCACTCATTCCAAACAACTAGCTTGGCCAGATTCCATAGTAATCGCCAATTACCTGGGTGGACAAAGGATTTACAACCCATTTTATAGGGCACTTTGCTTCCTCTGAATCTGAGTCCCTTCTCCTAGATTACATATAGGGAAGGTGGAAGGCAAAAAAGAAAAAAAGTATTTTTTGAGCATTGTGCTAGGTGTTTCACACCTGAGATCTCATTTACTGTTCATGACAATCTTTGGAAAAAGGTGCTATTACCTTCATAAAACAAGCAAGAAAACAGGCTTAGAGGTTAATATATATGATTTTATCTGTAAACCATTCTTATTCCTCTTTGCCTACTAATTAGTTAATGCCTCATTTAAATTTTTTATTTAATTTTAACTATATCTTTTATTGATTTTAGAGAGGAAGGGAGAAAGAAACATCAATGATAAGGAAGAATCATTGATTGACTGCCTCTTGCATACTCCCTACTGGAGGTTCAGCCCACTACCCCAGGCAGGTCCTCGTGGTTGGTTCATAGGTCTGTGCTCAAATACTGAGCAACACCAAAGGGCAGTTACTGCCTCATTTAAATTTCAGTTTCAGCTCCATCTCCTCTAGGAAGTTCCCCCTCTCACTCCCATCCCAGCTGAGCTAGTGGTCCTATTGGCTTTAGAAAATATCATCTCAGCCGAGGCCAGTTTGGCTCAGTGGTCTGCATACTGAAAAGTCCCAGGTTCGATTCCAGTCAAGGGCATGTACATTGGTTGCGGGCACATCCCCGGTGGGGGGTGTGCAGGAGGCAGCTGATTGAGGTTTCTCTCTCATCGATGTTTCTAGCTCTCTATCCCTTTCTCTTCCTCTCTGTAAAAAATCAATAAAATATATTAATATATATATATATAGCAGGGACATGATCTGGTTTAGATTTTTTAAAATGTTTTGTTTCATTAATCCTAGAGAGAGAGTGCATGGGATGGGGAGAGACACAAAGAGAGAAACATCAATGTGAGAGAGACACATTGATTGATTGCTCCCTGCATGCACCCTGACCAGGACCCAGGATCAGTTATGGTGCACTGGACCAGGATCCAACCTCAGATCCTTAGGGTAAAACTGTATATTTTTATTTTTAAAAATATATTTTATTGATATTTTTTTACAGAGAAGAAGGGTGAGGGAGAGAGTGTTAGAAGCATCAATGAGAGAGAAACACCAATCAGCTACCTCCTGCACACCCCCTACTGGGGATGTGCTCACAACCAAAGTACATGCCCTTGACTGGAATCGAACCCGGGACCCTTTAGTCCACAGGCCGACACTCTATCCACGGAGCCAAACCGGTCAGGGCAAAACTGTATATTTTAAAACCCTATAGACTTTAGAGGGAGAGGCAATGAGGAGAAAAAGAGAGGAAACATTGATGAGAGAAACATCTATTGGCTTGCCTCCTGCATGGCTCCTCTTGGGATGGAGCCTGCAACCCAGGCATGTACCCTGACTGGAATTCAATGCATGGGAGGGGCCCAACCAGTCACACCAGCCAGGACTAAATTTTTAAATTCATAGAAAAAGCATGGATGCATACACACTAAAGGTGACAGGGCTAAATCTGGGGAGAACTGAAATTTGTAGGTTAAGTATATTTTTTCCTTTATGTAGCTTTGTATTCTTTGAAATGATTAAAGCTTTTTTAAAGTTAGGAAAACAATATGAAGTAGCTTCTAAATGGCAAGTGAATGAATAGTAGAGATAATGATGGACTGTAGAAATACAGAGGGAATGTGGTTGGCTGGGATGATAAAAAAGGTTTTTCTGAAGAAGCATATGAAAGATGTGTCGAGGTTCAAGTATTCCAGACAGAAAAATCAAGGCAGAAGAACACCTATTGTCTTTGGAGGACAGCAAGGTGATCTGTCTGCATTAGCAGGACATTTGGTAATGAGTTACGTGTGCCCACTAGGGGATGCTGTTTCAAAACATAGGCCCATTTGGGATTAGGTGAAAGGAATGTAAGGCATAGCAGGTAAAACAACAAAGAAGGTGTTCCCACAGTTGAAAAAATTGGGAAAATAAAAACATGAGCAAATGTCAACTCTCCCCTTATTACCTCTTGCTCCACAACTGGGTCTCCCACACAAAAAAAACGAAAGCATTGCAATATGCCTATAGCATATACCACACAAGCTCCGATTAAAGCGACTACTATTCCCATGCTCCCTTGCGAGAGCAGTGCCCTCTTTCCGGGTGCAAGTTGGGGGGGGGGGGGAGAGGAGGGGGGAGTGCCGCATCGGCTGCTGGGGTTTGTAGTTTTGCAGTGTCTTCTGGGAGTTGTAGTTCTCTCCCTACAATCGGCTGGGCGAGGCTGGAGACTCGGAGGCGGTGCCGGCTATCAGAGCTGCGCTGGGCGTTTAGGGGCCAAGATGGCGGCGCGCCGGGGACGGAGAGACCGAGTGGTGCCGCCTCCAAATGGGGGCCCCGGCCCCGACCCTGGCGGTGGAGTCCGCGGCAGCAGTCGCGGGGGTCGCAGCCTAGCGCCGTATGAGACCGTGAGCGCTGTGAGCGGCGGGGAGCAGGTGAGGAGCTGGCGGGCGGCCCGCGGCTGGCAGCACAGCGGCGTGTGCCGGGCGGTGACACGTGGACGCCACAGGAAAGGGAGGAAGCGCCCCGGAGTCGATGCCGTGTGGCTTTGGGAGGCAGGTTTGGGCCGAGCGGACCTGAGCCGTTTGCTGGCGGGGCGCAGGCAGAGGCAGGGTCCCTACGGCCATTCCTCGGGAACGCCGGAGGGGCACAGTCTGGTGTCGGAAGCCCGGCCCATGATTGGAGGGAGGAAGCGGGATTCGGACTTGGAGTTAAAGGCTAAGACTTCCATCTAAGGATGCCGAGGAGGGGGTGCCCCTGTCCCCGCGCCGCAGTGCCCTCTCGGAGCCACGTGGGGAGGGGGGGGGCGATTTCCCCCCGGAGAACTTGTCTGCTTCCCCTCCCCCTCCAGACGGCCTCGGCACCCACGTGGATCGGCTCCGGGCGAGGGGGGCCGCGGGTCCACGTGGGGGCGGGGAAGGGGTGTCCACGTGGCTCCCGCCTCCGGCCGCCGGGCGTCTCTATCAGCGCTGGAGCCGCACTGCCGGGAACTGGGTGTGTCTCGGCGGGTCCCGCCATCTCGGACGGGGCTGGGGGACCCTGGCCGGGAAGGAAAGTAGGGGCTGCTGGAGTCAACTTTGCTCCGAGGCTTGGCGTTCCTTTTCCTCCTGCTTCGGTCCTCGGAACCTCTAGACCGCGCTGGTGAAGGACTCCCAGATGTGCGGGCAGCCCGTTCCCTGCGGATGGCGGAGTGTGCAGGGGAGGGAAGAGGGCTGGGGTGGAAGGGCTGTGGAGGGAGCCGGTGGCGGCTTCTGCCTGACCGGCTTGGGGTGGATTGTGAGTCACGGGCACTGGTGTTTTGGTTGCCTGCAGTCCTGCCTCATTCTTGATTCAAGGGGAATGGAGAATGTCAACATATACATAGGACAAGCTTAAGGAAAGGAAAGAGAATCCTCTCACCTTTCACTTTCCCCCCCCCCCCTCCGGCATCTCTTTTGAGGAGACTGCTAAGGTCTGCTGTGACCTGACAAATGGGGGTGGTTTGGAATTTTTGTTGGGGATGAGAAAGTTAGAGGTGATTTGAGAACCACACTAGATGAACATTTATTGGATTGGGGGAGGGGGTTGCTTTCTGTCAGATTATTATTTTCGTGGCCTTCAGCTTTCCATACTTCAAAAGTGTTATCTTTTTATTCCTTAGCACAGGACTTCTTATAAGTTCTCACCCAGAGTGCAGGTTGGCAGGACTTAGTTTGAACTGTTCTCTCTTAAGCAATTAAGCTGAGTCCTTGAGAGCTTATTTTGTTGTTCTCCAGGTGGGAGTTGGGCTGCAGGCTACCTACCAGGTAGTGTCAGTTCCAGCAGACCAATCCGAGCCCTTGCCCAGGAGAGAATGGCTTCTGGGTCCCTATCTTGGGGGCTGTCACACCCTCTTCCCTAATTTTCCCAGAGGTCACCCTTTGGGGGAGAGGCAAGAAAGATTCATGACCTAGCTGTAACCTAAGTTAGGTGGTCATTTGGGGTTGGAGAGGTCTCATGAAGAGATTGTGTGTCTTTCTCCCCAAATATAAAAAAAAACCCTGGATATTTGGAAGCCAGTCAACCAGGTACTTATTGAGAAAGCATTATATTCAGACATAGGAATACTGTAGTAAAGAACTCCTGCCTGAGAGGATCCCCCCTCCCCCCATAGGATCTTGTTTTTATCAGGCTAGACAGATAATAAGGGAAGTGCATATTTGAGATTATATAATAAGTAGTAGTAATCTACTTTGCTGGGTCTGGGAAAGAACATTTTAACCTGAGACTAATAAGGCTGTGTGTGTAGGTAGGGGACACGTTTATCAGAGGGAATATGCCCTAGCCGGTTTGGCTCAGTGAATAGAGCATTGGCCCCATTCTGAAGGGTCCTGGCTCCAATTCTGGTCAAGGCCCGGCGTGTGCGGGAGGCAACCAGTCAATGTGTCTCCCTCATGAAGTTTCTCTCCCTCCAATTTCCACTTCCACATTCTATAAAAGTCAATGGGAAAATATCCTCAGGTGAGGATTAACAAACAAAAAACCCATAAACAAACATCAGAGGGAGTAGTATGTGAAGGCCTTGAGGTGGGAGAGAATGTGAATTACTGGAGAAACAGACTGGTGTGTAGAGAGACAGGCAGGGTGGTGAGAGAGGACACACTGGAGCAGAAGAGTCTGGTGGGGAAGACCATGACCCCTATAAAGCTAATACCAAGGGCAGTAAGATGCCATTGGAGGGATTTAGGGACTTTCTGGAAGTGATCTGACTTATTTTTATTATTTATTTTTTAAAATTTATTTTTAAAAGTTTGTAGCTGGTTTTGAGCCATGCAGGGACAAGACTGGATATGGGTTCACTTTTAGCCTGGGCTTAGCTCCTAGTGAGAAAGCTTTTTTTTCTGGCTTTTTGGATATTTATAACGTAATTTGTGGGCCATACAAAAGCCTGCTATATTTGGTCAAACATGTAATTAACTGACCCCTAATGCCATGTCAGGGCCAGATCAAATGATTATGCAGCCTTATACGGCTGAGGCCGGACGTTCCCCTCCCCTGCCCTAGATGATATTGGTACTCTGGGAGCTGTCCTATTTGGGGATTGAATGATGGGAGAGGTAAGGTGGGGAGGGGAGTGTCTCTGACTCCGGCTCCAGTACTTGTCTGATGGAGGTGATGAATCGTTTGTAGAGCTGGGCATTGTCTTGAGATTCTGGCCCAGGGGCTAGCCCAGGTAGGTGGCAGGGCAAGTTGAGATGCAGCCTCCTTGCTCACCCAGGAGTGTTTGCTGAGCCAGGTGCTACTCAGCTGCTGGTTGTAATTACAGGATTGTGAAGGCCTGGGAGGAGTTAGTGCCTAAAACCTGCCACCTTTCACTTCATCTCTGTCCCTGGCCTCCTAAAGTGTTCCTACCTAGCCTTCCCTCTCCCAGGTTATCCTCAACTTGTTAGGAGGGCGGGTATGTGGTGTAGTTACACATGTTGCTTTTTTTCCCTCTTAGAAGAAAAGCAATTTCCCTTTGCTGCAAAAGGGGAGGGAGAACTGGTTTATCCATGTTTGTTCCTATTCTCCAGCCTTTTCATCATACTTCTCCTATGGTATAGATACCCATGGCTCTGGCCTCTGGCCTTGCTAGCTCCACTGCAGCCACTTCTGGCCCGGCCCACACCCACCTGCTTGACAGGCCTGGACGGGCGGCTCCCTGCCTAACAAGGCTGAAGACATTGCTAGTTCTCAGGGAAGTAGTGGGGTGGGGCTTTTCCATCTACAGAATCAAGCTTTCTCATCTTTAGCTCTCACCTGATAGGGCTAGGGAAGAGACTTTTTTCTTGAGACTACCATTGAGAAGTTCGGTGGCACACTGTAGGCCTTCATAATAAAAGTATGTAGTAAGTGTGTAGAGGACACTGTAGTAGGGACCTAGGATAACCAGGAAATATATGTATAGTTTAAACCCTTATAAGAACCAAGAAGATAAAAGCTATAGGATATGAAGGGTTACTTGCCCCAAAGGAACTTGGAAACTAGTTTTAGTATTGATGTAAGGAATGGGGGACAGGATGTGTTTGCCAGAAAAGTGAGTGGTACAGAAGTGTGTGAATTCAGCAGAGAGATCATCTTAAAAAGTGTCTTCTAGAAGAATATAGGTTTAAGCGGGAAGAGAGGCCTAAGAGGCATCAAGGGATGTGAGGTGGTGGTGGTTGAAATTGCCAGCTTGCTGATCTTCTGTCCTTTGGTGGGCCTTTCACACTGCCTTCCTTCACACTGCCATTAGACATTTCTTCTGAACAGTTTTGATATTTTGACTCTCCAGTTTAATAATCTCTTGTGGCTCCAACTCTTTCTGGATGGAGTCCAAACTTTTTTTTTTTTTTTTTAATATATTTTATTGATTTTTTTACAGAGAGGAAGGGAGAGAGATAGAGAGCTAGAAATGTCGTTGAGAGAGAAACATCGACCAGCTGCCTCTTGCACACCCCCCACCAGGGATGTGCCCGCAATTAATGTACATGCCCTTGACCGGAATCGAACCCGGGACCTTTCAGTCCACAGACCGACGCTCTATCCACTGAGCCAAACTGGTTTCAGCCAAACTTTTTTTTTTTTGCTTAGAAGGTCCTTGAGCGCTGCCATCTTGGTAGGGCTTTGGCTCATGAGCTTTACTTTTCTCTGCCAGCAAGTCCGGAGATTTGGCTGTGGTGGGGCTCCTGCTGAGTCTGGGGCCATTGTGGAGGGCTGGGCACCTAGTTTACAGAGCATTTCAATCAGTTGCCAAAAAAAACTCCATGTCTTGTAGCCTTCACCATGCCCTTCTGATATCCCTCCCTTTCCCCCAGGTGTTACTGCATGAAGAGGTGGATGATTCTGGCATTGTCAGTCTTTCTCGGCTGGCCCCCTGTCTGAAGGACAAGGATTTGGAGATGGAGGAGCTGTTGCTGCAGGATGAGACACTGCTGGGAACCATGCAGAGCTACATGGATGCTTCCCTCATCTCCCTCATTGAAGATTTTGGGAGCCTTGGAGAGGTGAGTAGAGCTGGGCCTAGACAGGCAGTTTGCATGAGAGGTTATGGCTTAGTGTTTCTGTTCTCCCAGAACCTTGACTCCTGAGTACCCAACCTGAAGTCCATTTTTTTGTCTCTAGGTGAAAGTTGGGCTACATGCTGTCAGATTATGTCCCTTTCTCTTGCCTAGGCCCCTGTCTTACATGTCCAGAAGGTTCTGATCCCTGTTTTGAACCCAATTCCAGCCTCACCAAAGGTGGTCTGCTAATCATTCCACTTAACTTGAGGGTGAAGGGAATGTATGAAACATAAGTTTATGATTTAATTTTGACAGGTCTCTGTTGACACTAGAGAGGTGGTAGATGTAGTAAATGGGATTGGAACTCATGACTCCTGATACTCAACTTGTCCCCGGCAAATTGAACTGAACCAGAGCCTAGGAGACTGATTTTCTTGGCATCCAGTTCTTAGTGGCTCAGTAGGTCATTTTGGGATGATGATGTAGGACTTTCCTCTTGTCTTTCTGGAGCAGAGCAGATTATCTCTGGAGGACCAGAATGAAGTGTCATTACTCACAGCTCTGACGGAGATCTTGGACAATGCAGATTCCGAGAACATGTCTCCATTTGACAGCATTCCTGACTCTGAGCTACTTGCGTCACCTCGGGAGGGCTCCTCTGTGAGTGTGGGACCAGGGGAAGGGGTTGTATGGTTGGTGCAAAGGTTAGAACCATGTCTGTGGGCCTACTCATGTATTCTGAAGCACAAACGCATCTCAGGTTCTTTTCTTTCTCTTAGCTACACAAGCTGCTCACTCTCTCTCGGACACCCTCAGAACGTGACCTCATCACTTCAGTTGATCCACTGGGGCCCACTACAGGCAATAGTAGAGTGAGTGGGGAAGCCTGACCTAAGGAGACTCAAGGAATCCCAGGGTGGGGGGGAGGAGTGTGTGGGGGACAGGTCTGGAAAAAGATGTTCCTGGAAAAAACTTCTGTGGCTTCTCTTTCCTGTAGGTTGAGATGTCTCTCGCAGATCCCTCTTGGGACTTCTCCCATTCCTTCTTGGAGACCTCCTCCCCCAAACTTCCTAGCTGGAGACCCCCAAGATCCAGACCCCGCAGAAGCCAGTCTCCTTCTCCCCAACAGCGTAGTGATGGGGAAGAAGAGGAGGAGGTGGCCAGCTTCAGCGGCCAGATGCTTGCTGTGGAGCATGGCAACTCAATGAGCAGCATCTCAGACTTTCCCATGCACCTGGCCTGCCCAGAGGAAGAAGATCAAACAGCAGCCGCAGGTATGGCAGTGCAGACAGCTGGTGACGAGAGCATCTCTTCCCTGAGTGAGTTGGTGCGGGCCATGCACCCCTACTGCCTGCCCAACTTCACCCACCTGACGTCACTCAACAATGAACTTCAAGAGCAGCCAGATGATTTGACATTGCCTGAGGATTGTGTGGTGCTGGAGATAGTGGGCCAGGCAGCCACAGCTGGCAATGACCTGGAGATCCCAGTTGTGGTGCGGCAGATCCCTACTGGACCCCAGCCTGTGCTCCTGGATGACTCACTAGAGGCCAGGCCAGCCTTGCAACTGCTCCTGCCTACACTTGAGTCAGAGACAGAGGCTGCTGTGGCCAAGGAAGCCCTCTGCCTTGAGAAAGAAGGGCTGTCACTGGACTCAGGGGAAAAGCTGGAGTCAGCCTTGTTGGAGCCCAAGGAAGTCAAGGAGCCAGTGGTGCCCAAGGGGCCTCAGAACCCACCAGCCAATGCAGTGCTGAGTTCCCAGAGAGCTCGAAAGGGCAGGAGGAAGAAGAACAAGAAACAGCCAGCAGCCTCTACAGAAGGCTATGCCCGGAGACTGAGGTCATCCTCTTGTGGGCAGCCTACTGTGGCTACAGAGGTGGACTCTCAAGCAGGCAGTTTGCCTCAGGAGGAACTTCAAAGAGAGGTTGGGCCTCCCCATGGTAGAGGGAAGCCCCGGGCTTGGGCTTGGGCCTGGGCGAGTACCTTGGAGAAGCCTAGCTCTGAGAACTTGGAGAGTAATGCTGGACAAGCTAGTCCTGCTAAAGAAGGTCCTCTTGACCTCTACCCCAACCTGGGTGACACCAGCGAAGTTAACCCTGTTCCAACCCATAGCACATTGGTTGACTCTGCTCATGCCGACCCCACGTCACTGGATTCTGTTGAAGCTGATCCCTCTGCAATTGATCCTGCTCTAGGTGACCCTGTACCTGTTGATCCTGCATTGGTTGACCTTGCTTCAGCCAACTCAGGGCTGGTTGACCCTCTTCCAGCTGACCAAGTGTTGATCAAGCCAGTCCTGGCTGACTCTCCAGCAGTTGACCCTGCAGTGATTGTTCCTATCTCAGATGACTTGCCACCAGTTGACCCTGTCTCTACCAACTTAGCACCAGTTGACTTTGTTCCCAATGACCTGGCTCCAGTTAACCCTGTGCTAGTTAAGTCTAGGCCAACTGACCCCAGACGTGGTGCAGTGTCATCAGCCCAGGGGAGTCCAGCCCCCCAGCTCCAGTCAGAGTCCTTGGACCCCCCAAAGGTCATCATCTCTAAAGTCAAGGAGAGTGTGGGTCCTCTGAAGGAAGGTGATACCAATACCACAACCCAGGAAACCAGACCTCGGCCTCTTAGTCTATCTGAGTACCGGCGACGAAGGCAGCAGCGCCAAGCAGAGGCAGAAGAAAGGAGTTCCCAGCTCCCGTCTGGGAAGTGGCCCAGCCTCCCAGAAACCCCCACAGGGCTAGCAGACATCCCTTGTCTTGTCATCCCACCAGCCCCAGTCAAGAAGACATCTCTGCAGAGAAGCCCTGAGACTTGCTTTGTGCCTGTGGGTGGTCCCAGTCCTGCTTCTCCTAGTCCAGAGCCACCTACAAGCAAATCTGTAGCCTCAACTCCCACTGAGCAGGTTCCATCCCAAGAGATGCCACTCCTAGCAAGACCTCCACCTCCTGCTGTGCAGTCCATGCCTCCCACAATGCCCCCTGCTGTGCCTTTTCCACCAGCTGGGCTGGGCATGCCTCCCATGCTGCCCCCACCACCCTTGCAGCCTCCTAGTCTTCCAATGTCTGTGGGGCCAGTGCCACCTGATCCCTATACACATTATGCCCCCATGCCACCCTGGCCTTGTTATCCCCCAGTATCTCCTGGCTATCCTTGTTTGCTGCCCCCACCAACAGTGCCCATAGTGTCTGGTACCCCTGGCGCCTATGCTGTTCCCCCTACTTGCAATGTGCCTTGGGTACCCCCTCCTGCCCCAGTCCCGCCTTACAACTCTAGCTGTACTTATGGGCCCGTGGGGTGGGGTGCAGGACTGCAACACCCTCCATTCTGGCCTACTGTGCCCCCACCACCTTTGCCTCTAGCCTCTGTTGGGAGAGCTGTTCCCCCACCCAAGGTGGAGTCCAGTGGCATCCCAGTTGGTCCTCCTGAAAGTTTACCTCCCGTACCAATGGCTCCTCCCCTCACTCTGGGGTCAGCTGGCCAAGGAGCTCCACAGATAGAGCCCACCAAGGTGGAGGTCAAACCAGTCCCTGCTTCTCCCCATCTGAAACACAAGGTATCCTCCCCGGTGCAAAGCCCACAGAACAAGGTTTCACCCTGTCTGTCTGCTGAGAGTGTGGCTGTTGAGGAGCCTGCAGCAGAGAGGTTAAAACTTGAGACCCAGGAGACCAAGTCCAGGGAGAAGACCCCCTCTCCTGTTGCCAAGACTGTTCCCACACCAAAGCAGAGCACTATCACTAAGTTGCCTGCTGTCCACCCAGCCCGTCTAAGGAAACTGTCCTTCTTGCCTACCCCACGTATCCAGGATCCTGAGGATGTGGTACAGGCTTTCATCAGTGAGATTGGTGAGTGCCACACAGTTGGGATCAGAGTCAACTGGTATTAGGTTAGCGGAGACAGGTCAACTGGTGGCAAGTCATCTGTTGGTGTGAAGAAGGGAATTGGGGTTGAGTGGAGAATGTCCTCCCTAGATTAGGATAAAGTACCTGGCTGGGGGGCTGGCCTTTGGATTTCTTTGTAGGGTTCTTGAGAGTCAGCTCTGGGTTTGTTTAATTATTTCTTACTTTGTATTGCTGTCTTGGTTTACTTAGTATAGTGAGCAGGTGGATTATAAGGGAGAATTAACGTGATTTGGGACTTCCTGGGACTTGTGTACTCAATTGATAGGAGCTGTTTTCCAATCCTGTGTTGTGTGCTTCCACAGGAATTGAGGCATCGGACCTGTCCAGTCTACTGGAGCAGTTTGAGAAATCAGAAGGTGAGGGAACCTGGGTAGCTTTGCTCCAACCCCTTTTTAAAGTTACTATTTCCTTTGGGCCCAGTTTATAGTTACTTAAACTGAGAGAGGACAGTCTTAGCCACTAGAGCAGCCCCCTAATTGGAATGGGAGACCAGATCCACCTGTGATGCGATCTAAGCTTGGGAGAGGGTACAGTGTGGCAAGTATTACAGAGAGTAGACCAATGGGGAGATGTTTTCTATAGGGAAGTAGCTCACAAGGTAGGCCTTGAAAGATAGGACTTCCAAAAAAAGAAAAAGGAAAAAAGAAAGATAGGACTTCCTAGAATGCATGTGGTGAATAAAGGCAGAGATACAGAAATGATAAAGTGTGGTGTATTTAGAAGGCAATGGGTAACAGCTTTTTCAGTGCAAGGCATGGTGCTGCTGATGATACTATACCCTGTTCTCAAGGAACTTCCTAATGGGGAGAAAAGTATGCAGAAATGACTCCTGAATTGGTTATGGGTATTTATAGTTCAAGGCAAAATAAATATAAGTGTAGAACAAGTGTAAACTATAAGACTAGGAAGTTGGGCAGGTCATGTAGAACCTTGAATGTTAGGCTCAGAAGTTTAGTCTCTTTACCTCAGATTCAGTGGGTAGTGTGGATGTTTTTGAGCCGAGAAGAGACAAGATTAACACACTGGAGAAAAATGGATCTTTCTGGGGAGAGCCCAGTGGAATATGTAGGCAAAGTGGATTTTCCTCCTTTGGGTCTCAAAGCCAGCCCTTCTATACCTCCTCAATTTGGAACATCTGGTTGGGCTTTTAACTAGTATGGTTTCTTTGCAGCCAAAAAGGAGTGCCCTCCCCCGGCTCCTGCTGACAACTTGGCTGTAGGAAACTCAGGGTAAGTATGGAGACGTGAGCGAGTTACCCTACAGCTGTTGGTCAGCAGCCGGCCGGCGCTCCAGGATCATTCATTGGATGCCTCTGTTGCAGTGATGTTTAGTCAGCTCTAGAGTCTTTCCCTGTTTCCACATCCCCATGCTCAGCTCATCACTACTGGGCACTCTTTTGGGTGGTGAGGTAGGAGGATGGATGTGAACCAAGACTTTGGTTGATTCCATTCTGGGGTTCTAAATGTCTGAGAGGTGCCTTTTGTCTTCTGGCAAGTGATGCCTTTGGGGGGGGTTTAATTTAACACATTTTAAACTTGTTCAACACTGGTGATAGTTTAAGATAAGTAGGGGAAGATGTTGATGGCTAGGGCTTCCCTGACTCCTTGGAGGATACAGGCACCCTAGACCTTGTTCCCCAGTCTTCCAGGACTGAGAGGACTTTAAAATTTTTTTCTTGTTCATGCTATGCCATGGTGTTCTGTCGAGCATTTTCCTCTCCACAGTGATTTTGGGTTGGTTTGACCTCGGCAGGTAAAGCTCCAGGCTTAAAGGAGGTGGGTGGGGGGTATTTAAGATTATAGTTGAGTTGCCTCCTGGCATTGGGCAGTGCTGAGCTAAGACCCAAGATTTTTTGTGCTGGGGGAGAATGATAGGGGCAGGTTGTGCGTCCCATTCCTCTCTGCACACACCCCTCTCCCATTGCTGTGTGAGGAAAGCAGATGTATAGATGTTGAGGAGGCAATGAATCAGGCTTTCCCTTTTCCCCCTGCCAGCAGCGTTGACCCTCCCCAGGAGAAGAGGCCCCTAGACCGGTTACAAGCCCCAGAACTGGCCAACGTGGCAGGTGGGTTCAGGGTGGGGAACTCTGCCTTTGATTAGTTTATGCAGTAAATGTTTGTAGAGCCCGATCGGATCCTCATTCTGAGGTTCTCACAGTCCAGGGGCAAGTGTGCAAATTGAGTTTGTTGAGTATCAGAGGTTGTATGTCAAATAAGTGGGGTCTGCAGGGGGACAGTGAGGGATGGGTTGTTTGGAAGGTAATCTCCAAAGCAGAGCCTGAGAAAATCACTGGTACCAATCAGGTAGGTTTAGGGGATAGAGAATTCTATAGATGAGCATCTAAAGTGAACTGAAGAAATAAAATCAGCCTAGTATGTTTTGGGGAATTGCAAGTGGTTCAGTTTGGCTGTGGTGTAGTGGCTGATCAGTGTGATGAGCAGAGCTAAAGCAAGAAATAAAAGCTGGAGTGGTAAGTAGGAGGTCAGATTATGGGAACTTTGAATGTAATGGTAAGCTATTTGGACTTTATCCTGTGCATTGAAAAAGCTTTACTGAATTGGTTTTTGGGTGCTCCCTCTAGCAGCAATGTAGAAGACAGGTGGACAGGTGTGAAGCTCAAGGTAGGAGATCATTAGAGAAAAAGAAGACAAGTCCTGGCAAGATGCAGCCAGAAGTCGGGCAGTGCTGGAGCAGGGTGGAGGGGTCTAGGAATGGAGAGGTAGACTGAGCAAGTCCTGGTCACTAGTTAGGTTGGGGCAATGGAAGGTTGAGGGATTCAGGAAGATGCTGGCTGGTGGGGTTTTTGTTGCTGGTCCCCGAGATGGGGAACTTGGGGGAAGGAGTAGTTATAACAAGGGGAGAAGTTGGGCTGTGGACCATTGTTGGTGTACTTCATGAGATGAGTTGGGGTCTCTGGAGCTTATATATACAAGTGTTTGGAAGTGTAGACTCGGATCTCATCCTGCTATCTCCATCCTCCCTCCCCTCACAGGGCTCACCCCTCCAGCTACCCCTCCCCACCAGTTATGGAAGCCCTTGGCTGCCGTTTCCCTGCTGGCCAAAGTCAAATCTCCTAAGTCCATCGTTCAGGAGGGAACCCTGAAGCCTGAAGGAGTTACAGAGGCCAAACATCCAGCTGCAGCCCGCCTCCAAGAAGGGGTCCATGGCTCTAGTCCGGTCCATGTGGGCTCTGGGGACCATGACTATTGTGTCCGGAGCAGGAGCCCCCCAAAAAAGACTCCTGCTCTAGTCTTTCCAGAGGCAGGCTCCCGATGGAACGTCAAACGCCATCAGGACATCACCATCAAACCTGTCTTGTCCCTGGGCCCAGTCGCCCCTCTTCCTCCAGGCACAGCTGCCTCCCAGGAGCCACTTGATCACAGGACTAGCAAAGAGCAGGCCGATCTCCCAGCCCCTTGCCTTGCCCCATCCGCCTTGCTGTCCCCTGAGGCCTCGCCCTGCCGGAATGACGTGAACACTAGGACTCCCTCTGAGCCCTCAGCCAAGCGGTCAGTGCGCTGTTACCGAAAAGCCTGCAGGTCACCTAGCCCCCCAAACCGGGGCTGGCAGGGCCGCCGTGGCCGCAGCAGTTCTGTCAGCTCTGGGTCCAACCGGACCAGCGAAGCATCTTCCTCCTCATCCTCATCGTCGTCTTCATCCCGGTCCCGGTCCCGGTCCCTCTCCCCCCCACACAAGAGGTGGCGAAGGTGAGCTCTGATGGTCTATTAGGTCCTCTCCATTCAGGAAGTTTTTTCGCACATTGAGTTTGATACTTTCAGGCACTAAGGCTTCTGATTCTGTCTTTGGCTTTTATCCTCTCTGCCTTCCCTGGATTGTTGAAGGAGGCAAGTTGTGAGAAAATAGCTTCTGTCCTCTGATGGAGTTTGGGGTATCCCTGCGGTCTCTGCTTCCTTGAGACCTGCCTTGGGGGAACGGTTAGGATTTGATCTTAACCATGTTGAATTCTTTGAATACTGTATCAGTCCTCATTTCTGGTATTTTCCTGGTGGTATGTGGGAAGGTGGGATTGTGGGTTGCTAATGGCAGATAGTCCTTTTAATCTGGAGAAAAGAATCTGGGCAGTTCTTTTGGGTGTCCCTATGGCCTCATCTATTTTCTGGCAGTACTTCCCCCCCCCCCCCCCCCCCAGTAACAGACCCAAATTTTCTATTTAGGTAAGGTGGCCTTTATCTATCTATCTATCTCTCGCTCTCTCTTTCTCTCTCTCTCTTTCTCTCCCTTTTTTTTTTTTTTTTAACTATTTTTTATTGATTTTTTACAGAGAGGAAGAGAGAGGGATAGAAAGTTAGAAACATCGATGAGTGAGAATCATCAATCAGCTGCCTCTTGCACACCCCCTACTGGGGATGTGCCCTTGACCGGAATTGAACCTGGGACCTTTCAGTCCACAGGGCAACACTCTATCCACTGAGCCAAATGGTTTCGGCAGCCTTTATCTCTTTTAGTCTTCATTTATTTCTCTTCTTTGTGATTTGTTAAATATTTTTCAATCTTTAATTGCATAATTGAAAAGAAATATGACCTATGCCAAAACACTCTAAAACATTCCTGATACATCTAAAGTTCATCAGGGCTTCAGTTTGGTCATCTGTGAAGAGTTTTTCTAAACCTCTTCAGCTTTCTTTTGCCTTTGGTCCTGTGCTTCCTGAGGAGGAGGCAGGGCTGTGGCCAAGGTGAAGTAAGTGGCATATACCTGCACCATTCCCAGCATTCCCATTTGCCCCTTTATTCTCTAGGTCCAGTTGTAGTTCCTCTGGATGTTCCCGGAGATGCTCTTCCTCTTCATCATCTTCCTCCTCATCTTCCTCATCCTCATCATCTAGTTCCCGAAGCCGGTCCCGCTCCCCATCCCCCCGCCGGAGAAGTGACAGGAGACGGCGGTGAGCATGTGTTCGGGAGTCAGTGCATCTGGGGTGTAAGTGCCTGAGAGTTCAGAGGCTTTAGCTGTCTAATGTCTGGGTGGCTGATGGTACCTTCTTTTGTCAGGTACAGCTCTTATCGGTCACATGACCATTACCAAAGGCAGAGAGTGCTGCAGAAGGAGCGTGCAATAGTGAGTAGAGGAGCAGGTCATGGGAGGGGCGGGGAGTTGGCCCCTGCAGTTCTGGCCCTGGCTCATGGTATGTAATTTTCCCTTTTCCCAACATAGGAAGAGAGAAGAGTGGTCTTCATTGGGAAGATACCTGGCCGCATGACTCGGTCAGAGCTGAAACAGAGGTTCTCTGTTTTTGGAGAGATTGAGGAATGCACCATCCACTTCCGTGTCCAAGGGTAAGCTTGGGCCCTAAGGTCAGGCTGTCCTTTCTGTTCCTTCAATGCTTTTTTGTCTTTCCCCCTTGCTCTGGAGTGTGGACAACATTTTTTTCACTCAGAGGATTGGCTAGTTGGGGATTGACAAGAATCACCCCCATCCCCCTCTGTACCCTGGTGGGTGTTTCTTCTCCATGGCATGTGCCCAAATAGCCAGTCTCTGCCTCACCCACCAGTGACAACTATGGCTTCGTTACTTACCGCTATGCTGAGGAGGCATTTGCAGCCATCGAAAGTGGCCACAAGCTGAGACAGGCAGATGAGCAGCCCTTTGATCTCTGCTTTGGGGGCCGCAGGCAGTTCTGCAAGAGAAGCTACTCTGATCTTGGTGAGTGGCGGGAGGCCCTGAGGCTTTGGTGTAAGGGTTCCCAACCTCTTGAGAGTGGGCTCAGCAGACTTGTCTTCATCTGACACATGAAGGAACCCAAGGGGTGGGATGACTTAAAATTATTGGGGTGGGAGGTGGCTGGCCATCTGAGGACTCTGGATGGGAAGTGTGGCCAGAGACCTTGATGTTTGTCTGTCTCTCTCTACCTTTATAGACTCCAACTGGGAAGACTTTGACCCTGCTCCTGTAAAGAGCAAATTTGATTCTCTTGACTTTGACACATTATTGAAACAGGCCCAGAAGAACCTCAGGAGGTAACCCTGGGCCCTTCTCCCCCTGCCCCCCTTTTTTTGGAGGTGTCCAATCATCTCCAACCCCCTCCCCAACTCCAGGGGAGAGAGCTGCTAGTGAGATGACTTTTATAAAGAAATGGAAAAAGTGAAATAAAAAAATGTGTTAAATCAGATTTTTTAAAAGGGTATTTGTTTTTATAACAGGCATTTAAACAAGTTAATTTGCATTCCTATTTGAAATAGATGACTTTGAGGGATTCCCCCTGTGTTTGGATTATTGAAGTCACTATGCAGACTAATAAATATAAACTAGAGAAAACATCCATGTGCTGTTGTGCTTATTTCTTTCCATGGTGTTAATACCAGACATTCTCACTTTTCTTCTCAACACAGTGTCGCGTTTACCTCCATTGAGTTCCTAGGACCCCTCTTGGATCAGGTGCAAAATCCTGTTGGACTTGAAACTTGGCTCCTCAAGTGTTTTGATGGTGAAATCAGTCATCAGGGCAGTGCTTCTCAAACTTTAAAAGGGCATTTGAGCCCTGGCCAGTATGGCTCAGTTGGTTGTCCTATGCACCAAAAGGATGCTGATTCAATGCTAGCAGGGCACATTCTGGAATTGTGGCTTGATCTCCAGTAGCGGGTGTGCAGGAGGCAGCCAGTGGATGTTCCCCTCTCAGTTTCTCTTTCTCCCCCTAAGAAAACAAGGGTGGGATGTGGGGGCAGCATTTGAATCCTGGCCAGTGTTGCTAGGTGGTTCAAGCTTTGATCAGAAGTTTAAAGAATGCATGCATGTGGATCAACTTCTGGGGAAGAGGGATAGATATAGGAGTTATACCTACGAGAGGGGAATGCCTATTTTGAAAAAGACAAAAGTGTGTCCCCTGAAAAAGTACATCCTTACCCTTTTTGAGGGGCATTAATGGGAAGTAATCAGTGTAGTGTATGGGATTGAAGGGGTTCTTCTCTGTTGCTAATGTAAACAAATACCATAAGTTTGAAACAGACTTGACAGGCCTGGGCATTTGAACATTCGAGTATTCATGACAAGTGGGATCTATTGGGTAGTTTTCCAGTTCTCTCACAGGGAGAGTTCACAGTATAAACTCAGGATTATGGTTTGAAGAGATTGCTGCTGCATCACTCAGGTTTGGTGCACAACCCCTTTTACCTTCATGGAACTGACTTGACTGAATAGTAAGTGGGGGCCCAGCCCCCCTGTTGGTATAAAGGGAAGGCAGGCCCTAGCTGGTTTGGTTCAGTGAGTAGAGTATTGGCCTGCAGACTTGGTTCGATTCCAGACTAGGGCACATGCCTGAGTTGTGAGCTTGATTCTATGTGTGGGTCATGTTGAAGGCAGCCCATTGTTTCTATCCCTCTCCTTTCCTCTCCGAAATCAATAAAAGATATTAAAAGACAAGCTGTGTGCTCTCCAAGCTTGCATCCACTTCTGATTTTCGTTTGTTTACAACAATCTTTATTTTTTATTTCCATCTTTTTTTTTTTTATTGATTTTTTTACAGAGAGGAAGAGAGAAAGATAGTTAGAAACATTGATGAGAGAGAGACATCAGCTGCTTCCTACACACCCCTACTGGGGATGTGCCCGCAACCAAGGTACATGCCTTTGAAACGGAATCTAACCCGGGACCTTTCAGTCCGCAGGCCGACGCTCTATCCACTGAGCCAAACCGGTCTCGGCTATTTCCATCTATTCTTAAGTTTTTCATCAGGCCTCAGATGCCAAAATGGTAAAGCAGATCAAGAGCAAGTATGCTTTTAAGGAAGCCTTGAAAGTGCAGGAGATAAATTTGTAGTAGCTGACTTAGCCACACGATGTGGGTTTGGCAAAAGGATTTTTTTTTTTTTTAATTTCCTCTCTGAAGTATTCCAACGTGGTATCCATGAAGTAGATGTGGATGACTGTTAGGATGTTGCCACAGAGTGTAAAGTCAAATTAACAAACCTTTCAGTTTTTGTTAATCTTTGCCTGAGGATATTTTTTCTTTTTCTTTTTTTTCTTTTTTTTTTTTTTTTTTTTTTTTAGCAAGAAGGTAAGGGGGAGACAGAAACATTGATGTAAGAAAGATGCATTGATTGGTTGCCTCCCGCATGTGACTTGAATGTGCCAGGGATTGATCCTGCAACTGAGATAAGTGCCCTTGACCAGAGTCAAACTGGAAGCCCTTCAGTCCATGGGCTGACACTCTTAACCACTGAGCAAACTGGCCATGGCCAACCTTCCAGCTTTGTTTGTTTGGGATATATTTTTATTGACTTCATAGTGTAAGGGAGAGGGGGGAGAGAGAGAAACATCAATAATGAAAAGAATCATTGATGGGCTGCCTCCTTCCTGCATGCCCTCTACTTGGGATGGAACCGGAAACCTGGACATGTGCCCTAGACTGGAATTGAACCCAAGACCCTTCGATCCACACAGGCCACTGAGCCAAACCATCTAGGGCACATGTGTCAAACACAAGGCCCGCGGGCCAAATCCGTCCCACCAGGCCTTGCAATGTGGCCCGCGCACCTCGCTGTCATCACTGCACTCCACTGTGTTTCCATCACAATGACAGTTTATGACTGTTCAGTAAACCATTCGGCCCGCGATTTAGGCTGGATTTTAGATTTTGGCCCCTTCTCTGATTGAGTTCGACACCCCTAATCTAGGGCTACAAAACTACAAAAGGATGAATTTTCTGGAGTTAAGGAAAAAGCCACCATCAATGAATTAATTTAATCATGTTTTCTGAAAACCAGCTATCAGTTCTTGAAATTTATTTACATAAAAGAAAGATCAAGCATAGGGAGTATATACTCACTACCATCTGACTGTAAATAACAAAATGTTATTTTAAAAAATTAGTAGAGGATAGGGTTTCATGGGCAGAAGGTGATGGGCAGTTTTGTTATTGGAAAGGGACCTGGCCTTGAGTCTGCCTGCCTTGGGCCAGCTGGTAGTGTGTAGGTTCTTGATTTGGTACAGGAAAGATTTCACAGCACAAGTCCAGGTGATTTTTAGAGGATGTTTGTTAAAACGGGGAACAGCCGGGACCGGGTTTGGCTCAGTGGATAGAGCGTCGGCCTTCGGACTGAAAGGTTCAATTCCGTTTCAAGCGCATGTACCTTGGTTGCGGGCACATCCCCGGTAGGGGGTGTGCAAGAGGCAGCTGATGGATGATTCTCATCAATGTTTCTAACTCTCTATCCCTCTCTCTTCCTCTCTGAAAAATCAATAAAATATATATTTTTAAAAATAAATAAAATGGGGAACAGTGAAACGGAAGGGTCTTAGATAGAAGAAGCAATAGGAGACACAGTGAAATGAGCATAGGCTGTGCTGCTTTGGCTCACTAAGAAGTAAGAAAAAGGCCTTTGGGACAGGTTCAGGCCCATGGCTCCCTGGATGCAAGTCTTGTGGGAGTCCCTAGTTAGGAACTGCATGCCTGTGGAGGAAGAGAAGGAAGGGAAAGATGAGGTGTGCTTCCTGAAGGGAGTGCCCTGTGGTATCTTCATTTTTAAGGTTTTTAAAGGCTGGGAGTTTTAGGGAGGAGTTATGGAATGAGCTCAATAGAATATGTCAGCTCTATGCTGATGTGCCAAAATTAGATTTATTCCGTTAACCTCATCTGCCCTTGGGTGTAGTTGGCACAAATGGCATTAATAGGATTTCTGATTTAGGCTATTTACCCTATTTATCCTATGGCTGGGGAGAGGTGCCAGCCATTACTGTTAAGTGTCCTTGGTTTAGTGAAGATAGGATTTTGCTAGATGGTTGTAAACTACTTGGCGACTTAACTATCTGCCCCTGTTTCCCTACTCTTTAAAAAAAAAAAAAAAATATATATATATATATATATATATATATATATATATATATATATTTTTTTTTTTTTACTGATTTTTTACAGATAGGGAGAGGGATAGAGAGTTAGAAACATAAATGAGAGAGAATCAATCAGCTGCCTCTTGCATGAAGGTGCCTGCAACTAAGGTACATGCCCTTGACCGGAATCGACCCTGGGACCTTTCAGTCCGTAGGCCGACGCTCTATCCACTGAACCAAACCTGTTTCGGCTGTTTCCCTACTCTTGTTCTGGCTTCCGGCCATCTTTACCACAGGTGCTCTGAATGAACCTCTGCAGTGAAGGTGGGAGTCCCACAGGTGTGGGTGTGGGAGGCAGTGGATATGAACGGTGGGAATCCACTGGCAGAGCGGATAGGGAGGCCTGGAGATCTTGTGACCAAGTCCAGACAGGCCGAGGATAGCTGGAGCCCGCCGACCCACTCAGTTTCCCTGAAATGCTAATCCCAAACTAGGGAGCAGGAACCTGCCGCGGGGAGGAAAGGTTACCTCAGGAGAAAGGGCTGGGAAGTCCGCAGTTTTCCCGCCACTGCCGAGGGCGTGACCCCTGACGTCAGGCTCCGCCTTCGCAAAGTGGCGGGAGGCGGGCTCCGCCCTTTCCAAGATGGCGACACTCGTGGGAACGGAAAGAGCTTACAGATTTTGCGCAGATCCTTCGAGGTGGAGGCGGGACTTCCCTGCGGAGCGCGCCCACCCCTTCCGCTGTGCGCCCGCGCGGCTCGATGACGTAACACGCCCCGTCCGGACCTCGCTGGGTTCCCGAGTTCCTGAGTCGTGTGCATCGGCAACGGTAGTGACGCGTATTGCCCGGAGGATGGCGGACACCGGCTTGCCCCGCGTGGTTCCCAGCGACCTGTATCCCCTCGTGCTCGGCTTTCTGCGCGATAACCAGCTCTCGGTGGTGGCCAAGAAGTTCGCCAAGGCAACAGGCGCTGTAAGTCCCGGACTTGGGTCACCGGCCGGGGTGGGAAGACCACAGGGGTCCGGGCCCCGACATGATTAGGTCTCCAGGTAGAGAGGTCCGTGGAGTCCGCCTGGCCAGTGTCTGCGGGGCTTTTGTGCGGGTTTTCCGTGGTGACTGGAGAGAGCCTGGAGTCCGCGAGGTCTTGACCAGGTAATGCTGGGTCTTGTAGGTTTTTTTCTGTTGAGCGGTGCAGTGGCAGCGGCGTGGGACCCGCGTGGTCCAGGTCACGTGGCTGGCGGAGCGCGGTGAAGTGGGAGCCAGTCTCACCGGAGACATTGGAAGCTCCTGGTTCCTTCTTTTGGCTTTAGGTAGTTGGTGGGAAGCGTGACGACTTTAACTCTTAGTTGAATTTACTGGGGAGTCAAAGATACATAAAATGCTTTAGAAGGGTGGGAGTTTCCGTGGTAGAGAAAATGAACGAAAATAGAGGCAGGATTCTGCTGTTATGCCAAAGTAGCATAAGTGGTATTGAGCATCATAGTTATGCCATGCAGGCATAACAGTGAGCTTGGATCTTTAACTCGTGGAATCAAATGTAGGGTTGGAACCAGGTATTGCCATTCATTTAAAGATGTATAATTTGGGCAGCTTGATTAATCTGAGTATTTCTATTTCTATGGGGAAGTCATCGTACATTTTATAGGATTTCTGTGAGGTTTTTTTAAAAATATTGATTTTTTTACAGAGAGGAAGAGAGAGGGATAGAGAGAGAGAGAGACATCTAACAGCTGCCTCCTGCACACCCCTCACTGGGGATGTTCCCGCAACCAAGGCCCATGCCCTTGACGGGAATCGAACCCGGCACCCTTGAGTCCTCAAGCCGACACTCTATCCTCTGAGCCAAACCAGTTTCAGCGATTTTTGTGAGTTTTAGTAATATATATGAAGTGGCAATCCCATCCAGTGCCTGATGCTCATCAGTGAGTGAAAGCTGTTATCATCTGGTTGGTAACTTAGTATGTTCGGAAGACATGTGAAAGGAAGATGACTAGGAATGTGAAAGGTTTGGAATCTACATTTCAAGAAAAGCAGACATGATTGCATGGGCAAACACCTTGAGAGAGGATAGACTTTGTCTTGATCTTTTTTTTTTTTTTTTTTTTTTAACTTTTATTGATTTCAGAGAGGAAGGGAGAGAAAGAGATAGAAATGTCAATGATGAGAATCATTAATTGGCTGCCTCCTGCACGCACCCTACTGGGATGGAACACACGACCCTTCAGTCTGCAGGTCGATGCTCTATCCACTGGGCTAAACAGGCTAGGGCGGCAGTCTTGGTCTTTAATTAAGAAAATAGACTTGTTAGTGGCAGAATCCAGTTGTGCAAAGAGAATCGGATCAACCTCAGAAAGGACTTCCTTAAGCTGGGGCAGCCTGCCTTGAGATGAAATGTAAGTGTTTTTATGTTGTAACTGTTTGGAATTGACTGTTAGGGAGGCTGCAAAGAGTGTTTCCACAATGGGCTGGATGGAATTAAGCCTTTCAGAACCAGGATTATTATTATTTTTTTAATGATGTTTTTATTGATTTCAGACAGGAAGGAAGAGGGAGATAGAAACATCAATGATGAGAAAGAATCATTGATCAGCTGTCTCCTGCACACACACACCCCCACTGGGGATCAAACCCACAACCTAGGCATGTGCCCTTGACCACAATTGAACCCGAGACCCTTGCGTCCCCACCGTCCCCAGGCTGACTCTGTAACCACTGAAACAAACTGGCTAGGGCAGAACCAGGATATATTTTGTTTTTAATTTAATCTTTATTGTTGTGAGTATTTATGTTGCCCTTTCCCCCTCCCTCCATTGACCCCTTCTAGCCTACCTCCACCTCCTCACCCCCACCCCTGCCCCAGGCCTTCACCACCTAGTTGTTTGGCCCATGGATTATGCATATAAGTATACATCTCTTCCCACCCATCCACTCCCCCTCCACCTTCCCTCTGAAATTCTGCAGTCAGTTCTATGCTTCTAAATCTCTGAATCTATTTTGTTCATTTATTTTGTTCATTAGATTCCACATATGAGTGAGATCCTGTGATACTTGTGATACAAACTGGCTTATTTTGCTTAGCATAGAACCAGGATTTTCAATGTGGCAAAATCTTTGTGGAGGGCTTAGTAAGGGCCAGATGCTTTTTCCAGATTCTAAACACTTTATATGCCTTATCTCTTACCTCAATAATTTAAGATGTATAGTATTACCTTAGCCTTTTATAGATATAGAATAAACTTGCTTAATTAAAACTGTTTTCTAATTTAGCTAAACTTTTTTCAGCCCAGAGAAGCACCTCAACTTCTCTTTCAGTTAGTTGTCAGCAACACAGCAGTAAAGATCACCACAAAGCAGATTATTATTATAGGTCATTGAGGGAGAACAAAGGATAGAATATTTTTAAAAAAAAACTTATTTTATTGATTTTTCACAGAGAGGAAGAGAGAGGGATAGAGAGTTAGGAACATTGATGAGAGAGTCATCAATCAGCTGCCTCTTGCACACCCCCTACTGGGGATGTGCCTGCAACCAAGGTACATGCCTCCGACCGGAATTGAACCTGGGACCTCCCAGTCCTCGGGCTGACGCTCTATCCACTGAGCCAAACCGGTTTCGGCAAAGGATAGAATATTAACTGCAGCAGTGTTTGACTATATTCTTCACAGTGAGAAAACCTGAAGTCATTTTCAGGGTCCACCATTTCTTACTTTTTAGCCAGGTGTTTTCAAAGCTTTCTAAATCTCCATTTTTCAGCTAATGAAAAGAAAATAGGATTCCATCTAGTCTTCTCTCTACCTATTCCAGGACTTCTGTAAGGATCAAATGAGATGACACTCTATCCACTGAGCCAAACCAGCTAGGGGTATTTTTTTTTTCTTTTTCTTTTTCTTTTTTCTAATTTGTGCAAGTAAGAGAAGTCATGAAAGCTGTAACTTTTTAAAAATCCTCATCTGAGGACAGGCTGAGAGAGAATCATTGAACATGCCCTGACTGGGAATCGAACCCACAACCTAGACGTGCATCCCCAATTGAGGATCAAACTGGCAACCCTTTGATGCACAGGTGCACAGGATGATGCTCAACCAACTGAGCCACTGCCACTGGACTGAAGCTATAACATATGAACTATAGTAATCCTATATAATAAAAGGCTAATATGCAAATGGACCAAATGGCAGAACAAACTACCGAACACAAAACGCAGGAGCTGTACTCTGGTGGTTAGTGCACTCCCACAGGACGAGTGCCACTCAGGCAGAAGCCAGGCTTATGGCTGGTGAGCACAGCAGTGATGGCAGGAGCCTCTTCCACCTCTGGGGCAAAGCTAAGGATGTCCGACTGATGCCTCCCAGGCTGCAAGAGGGCGCAGGCCAGGCTGAGGGATCCCCAGTGCACAATTTAGTTTACCAGGCAACTAGTGGGTAGTTAAACAGGTCACTTTTAAGAAAGAGGTTTTTATTGAGTTTTGAGAGATAAAAGCATTATCATCAGAAACATCAATTAATTGCCTCCTATATACACCCCGACCAGGAATCAAATCTACAACCTGGGTATTTGCCCTGACTGGGATTCAAACTGGCGACCTTTCCATGCATGGGATGATGCTCAACCAACTGAGCCATACCAGGCAGGGCAGAGCGGGTCATTTTTAACCAGACAGTAACACAAAATCTGATCTCCCCTAGAATAACCAGGATAAATTTTTTTACCCAGCTCTTTGTCTTTTCTCCTAAAGACCCCGCAGGATGCCAATGCCTCTTCCCTCTTGGACATCTATAGCTTCTGGCTCAAGTAAGTCTTCCCCGGACCATTTTGGCTGTTTTCCCGCCTCAAGTGTACTGGGCTGTGTTTCTTGGTTTGGGAAGGTCCTGAACCCCCAGAAGTTAGCCTGATCTACCTCAGTAGGTCCACCAAGGCTCCAAAGCGGAAATTACAAGCAAATGGACCTGGACCAGTGACTAAGAAGGCTAAAAAGAAGGCTTCATCCAGTGAGAGCAGTGAAGACAGCAGTGAGGAGGAGAAAGCCCAAGGACCTCCAGCTAAGAAAGTTGGTAAGACGGGTGGGGAGTTGGGATTAGCAGTGTAGTCAGGGAAAAGGATGTGTAGTCTGCCTGTACTGCGTAGCTGATTCTTAGTGGGACCTGCGCTTTTGTTTAGCTGTACCTGCCAAGCGTGCCAGTCTACCTCAGCCTCCTGGAAAGGCTTCAGCCAATGCATCAGAGAGCAGCAGCAGTGAAGAATCCAGTGATGAGGAGGAAGAGGAGGACAAAAAGAAAAAGCCCGTCCAGGTTTGCAGCTTGGGAAGGAAAGGGGTTGCTTAAGGGATTGGCAAGAAAACCTAGAATCTTGGCTTGTAGCTTGTGACCAAGAGCTGGTGGTGGTCAGGCGATTATGGGGCAGAAAATCTGGGGGCTTTTTTTTTTTTATTTTTTTTTATTATTACCGTGTTTCCCCGAAAATAAGACATCCTCTGAAAATAAGACCTATCACATGGAAAGATAAGACATCCCCTGAAAATAAGACCTAGCGCAACTTTGGGAGAAAAAATAATATATAACACTGTCTTATTTTCGGGGAAACAGGGTATCTGTGTACATATTTTACCATTGCTCTCCCCTCCCACCCATACCCACTCTCCCCAGAGTTTTGTGTCCATTGGTTGTACTTATATGCATGTATACAAGTCCTTAGTGGATCTGTTATCTCCCAATCTGGGGACTTTCAGAGATGTGATAGAAGTATGAAGCCTGAAAAGGATATGCGAGGTTGAAGTTAGACTCTGAATCTAGAGTAAACCAACCCAGGTATTGGGTTTCCCTGGGACACTGTCTAGGACTTCAGGGGTAAGGGAGTGTGTTTTGTATACAGATGTTGGGAGCTCCAGATAGAGAATGGCAGGGACAGATCTAGTGGATCGTGTGGCTGAACTTTTTGTTTCTTATTAAGAGTTTGTTGTCTTTTTCATGTGATGTCCTGCTTAGCTTTCCCTCGCCCCTACTGCTAGCCCAAAAAGATAAAAGGAGCTTATGAAGCTTTTTACCTTAAGATGCTGCTGGATACCCAAAAGCTCTTGTGCAGTCTCTTCATTGTTTGTTTTCTCTCAGAAGGTAGTTAAGCCCCAAACCAAGGCGGTCAGAACTCCTCCGAAGAAGGCCGAGAGCTCTGATTCTGACTCTGACTCTGACTCAAGCTCAGAGGACGAGGCACCAAAGAGCCAGAAGCCAAAGGCAACACCCATGGCGGCTAAAGCTCAGGCTAAAGCCCCAGCCAAGCCAGGTACTCTTTCTGTTCTGTTTCTAAAAGACCAGGCCGAGACTAGCTTGTTTTGTGGATAGGTATTTAAATTGCTTATTCAGCACAAGGGTGAAATGGTATTGGTGGTTGAACCAGAGATATTGATTAGTGTTACATTTTTATTGATTTTAGAAAGAGATATCCATTTGTTGTTCCACTTGTTTATGCATTTATTGGTTGCATTCTGTATGTGCTCTGACCAGAGATTGGACCTGCAACCTTGGCATATTGGGATGATGTTCTAATCAACTGAGCTCCTCAGCCAGGACCTAGTTTATATTTTTTTAAAGATGCTAATATTTTTTAAAAATATTTTTTATTGATTTTTTACAGAGAGAAAGAGAGAGGGATAGAGAGTTAGAAACATTGATGAGAGAGAATCATAGATCAGCTTCCTCTTGCACACCCCTACTGGGGATGTGCCCGCAACCAAGGTATATGCCCTCGATCGGAATCAAACCCGGGACCTTTCAGTCCGCAGGCCAATGCTCTATCCACTGAGCCAAACCATTTTTGGCTAAAAGATGCTAATGATTAAATGTATAATAATTAGGGACTAATAACTAGAGAAACAATTTGTGGCAAGGGAAAATGTATTTTTTAAAACGGTATCAGTTTGTCATTTCTTAGTTGCATTTCACAGATGTTTTATGTTCCCACAAATTCCATTTTACTATGACCACTTGCACCCCTATTTCTTGTTCTTTTCACTACCATTAACCTTCCTAAATCTTCATTCCATAAGACAAATGAGAAGTTTTATTCTATAATCTTCCTGTAGTGAAGGTTAGATTATGATTTATAGGAGCTCCTCTGGAAGTTGGAGTGACAGACTTCAGGAGCATATTTAAATTATTTATATTATGTCACTTTTAAAGATAGAATAGATTTACTCCTTATGTTTGGCAGGAAAGGCCTCCTTAGTATAGTAGCAGTCTCCTTCATGTCTGCTCTGGAGGCAAGAAAATTGATATAGACTCCTAAGTTCTGGGCAAATAAGATGGAGGTTCTTATGGCCCTTTAATTTCTTGATACTTCTAACACTGTTTCTTTTTTCTTAGGCACACCCACTCGAGCAGCACCTAAAATAGCAAATGGCAAAGCAGCTAGCAGTAGTAGCAGCAGCAGCAGTGAAGACTCAGAGGAGGAGAAGGCAGCAGCCATCTCTAAGAAGGTCTGGACCATAACTTCTACCAGGGAAGAGAGGGGTCTGGGGGTTAAAGGGGCAGTCTCCATTTCCTGGCAGGAGTGACTGAGTCAACATTTTCCTGTGGTAACTGATTTCTTTGTACGATGCAGACTGTGCCTAAAAAGCAAGTAGCAGCCAAGACTCCAGTGAAAGCAGCTGCCGCCCCTACCCAAAAGAGTTCCAGCAGTGAGGACTCCTCGAGTGAGGAGGAGGAAGAAGAGAAGCAGAAAAAGCCCATGAAGAAAAAACCAGGTGACTAGATATGGGGAGTCAAGTACATGACTGTTACCAGGGCCCATACACGGAAGGACTTCTGTAGTCACCACGTGGACTCTCCAAAGAACTGCTTGCCATATCTGCTGGTTTCTCCCAGAGAAAGGAGAAAGGCACCCTATCTTGTATAACCTAGACTTTGAAAATGATGTGTCAGCATTCCTGCCGTATTCTGTTTGTGGAAAATGAATCACTAATTCTAACTCACACTTAAGGGAAGGGGTTAAGCTCCATCAAAGTTTGTATACCACCCCATTCTCCGTTTTAAACAGGTCCATATAGTTCAGTCCCTCCGCCTTCTGCTCCCCAACCCAAAAAGTCCCTGGGAACCCAGGCTTCCAAGAAAGCTGCAGAGAAGAAACAGCCCGAAGAGAGCAGTGACAGCAGTGATGAATCTGGTGAGTCATCACAGTGGTGAGTGGGTCTGGGGAGTGTTTGAGAAATAGAGGAAAATCTCTGTCCCTCTTTCCACTGAAGCAAGAGAGGACTGAAGCTCTGGTCTGTGCATCCTTTTTATTGCTCCTGTTTGGGTCAGGACTCTGGGCCCAGCCTAATGCCATAGTTCTCTCCAGATTCAAGCTCTGAAGAAGAAAAGAAGCCGCCAGCTAAGCCAGGCATCTCTAAAGCAGCTACTAAACCAGCTCCGGCAAAGAAGGCAGCAGAGAGCTCTTCCGACAGCTCAGGTGAGGCGTGTGGAGGCCCTCCGGCAGGGCCACTCCAGGGGCTCCTCTCGGTCTAATTTATAATTTGGGGAGCTATTCATTCTACCCTCTTGTCTAGACTCTGACAGTTCTGAGGAAGAAGCTCCTGCCAAGCCAGCCAGTGCCACAAAAAATCCCGCAAGTAAGCTAGCTACCACTCCTAAGCAGCCTGCAGCCAAGACGGCCACAGCCCTCAAGCAGCCTGCAGGCAGTGGCCAGAAGCCTCTGACCAGAAAGGCTGATAGCAGCTCCAGTGAGGAGGAGAGCAGTTCTAGTGAGGAGGAGGAGGAGGACGTGGGGAAGGCCAAGAAGACAGTGACCACCCCTAAGGCCAAGGTGATGGCCAAAGCAGCACCATCTGTGCCTGCCAAACAGTCCTCTCAGGGTGGTGGGGACAGCAGCTCTGAGTCAGACAGCTCCAGCAGTGAGGAAGAGGAGGAAGAGAAGGCATCTAAACCTCCAGCTAAAAAGAAGCCACCGAAGACAGCGGGAGCTGTGGCCCCTTCCAAGCCAGCCTCCACAAAGACAGCAAAGGCCAAGAGCAGCAGCAGTTCTTCAGATGACTCCAGTGAAGAGGAGGAGGAGGAGAAGCCCGAGGGCAAGGGTACTCCTAAACCAAAAGCCCTCAAAACCAATGGCACCGTCACACCACCTGCCCAGAATGGAAAAGCAGATAGGATCAGCAACAAGCAGGAGGCAGGAAAGACCAAGGCAGCAGTAGCAGTTTCTCAGCCAGGTCTGTATCCACAGAAGCTGCCCCCTTGGGTTCCCCCGCAATTAGGATGGGTATATGCTCCTGGGGGGTGGCGTAGAGAGAGGAGGCAGAATGACTAGGTTCCAGTTGCAGGCCCTCTGCGGCAACATGGCAGAGGAACAGGATACTGTCTGAGTCTGGCTTTTTTGTTTTGTAGGTTTAGGAAAGAAACGAAAGCAGAATGAGGCTGCCACGGAGGCAGAGACTCCTCCAGTAAAGAAGATAAACCCTCAGACCCCTAACACATTTCCAAAAAGGAAGAAAGTAAATTGTCTTCTTTTCCTCTCGGGAGTTAGCTTTTATTTATTTATTTATTTACTTATTTATTTTATTATTATTAACAGGAGGAAATAAAGTTTTAATGCATGTGTGGGCAATTCACATATGCATGAAAATTTCAGACTATGAGGCAACATTGGGTATATAAGCCATATTTGGACAAAGGGTGGGGGTGGGTATTAGATTTCATAAGTGAGAATGGGGAGCTAGTCTTCCAAGAGTAGAAGAATCTAGAATTATCTTACAGCTCTGCCCGGCCTGGTAAAGGTGCACATGTGTGTGGCTTAGGAGGGATTTTCTGTTATCTGACCACTCCATCTTTAATTTGGTACTTCATTCTTATCCAGGCAGAAAAAAGGGCATCATCTCCATTCCGAAGGATCAGGGAGGAGGAAATTGAGGTGGATGCTCGAGTGGCAGACAACTCCTTTGATGCCAAGGTGAGGAGAGGGAGTCCCCATTCTTGAGCAGTGTTGGGTGGAAGAGGACAGTTGCTTCAGATTGGTGGGAAACTCTGGGTTCAGGTTGCCTTGAGCAGGGACAAGAATGTGACAGGCCCTGGTGTTAACCATCTCTCTACTCACCAGCGAGGTGCAGCCGGAGACTGGGGGGAACGAGCCAATCAGGTCCTGAAGTTCACCAAAGGCAAATCCTTCCGGCATGAGAAGACCAAGAAAAAGCGGGGCAGTTACCGGGGAGGCTCCATCTCTGTCCAGGTTAATTCAATCAAGTTTGACAGCGAGTGACCTGGAGTGACCTGGCAACGCAGGGGTGATGATCCAAGACTACTGTCCCCAGTGGACCTAGGAGCCCTCAGCTCTGTTAGTGGGGAACATCCTCTCTGGTCCTTTTCTGTGTGTGTAGTTTTGTACAGATTTGTTTGTGAGTGTTGAGTAGCAAGGACAAGGTAAGGGGAGTGTTCTTTTTTAATAAAAATTAGTTTTAGTTGTCATTCCCTTCTCCCTGTTTTGTGGAAGTCCTCATGCTGAGAAATTTGTATATTTTCTATTGAATCATTTCCTATTGATTTTTGTTGTGATTTTTCAGAAGTGGGTTCCCATAGATAAAAGGTATTGCTCAAGACATCCTAAAGGTTACATGTGTGAATATTTATAATTGGAGAATTCTGCCTATGTGAAATGTCCACATTTCATCCCTCCGGTCACTCAGCCCTGGTGAGGGGCAGTTGAGAATGGTTTAATGTATATGTCTGTTAAGCATGCACTGTGTAGTTCTTCCTCATTCATGCGGTCTAAGACTGAAGTTTTTAGCCAGCATGGATGTAGCTAGTTTGGGGTATAAAATCAGCTGTTTTGTTACAGGCAAAATTATGGTGTAGTGTGAATGCTGTGGAGTCAGTCTGAATAGTTTGTTTTCTGTAATTTTATCATTATTATGGAATATTTGCAATACCTGTTTTTTTATTTGAAAGCATAAACTTTTCTATTGTTCAAAGACTTGTTTTGATAACTTGACCCTTAAACAGTGTTGAGTACTAAATTGAAAACTGCATCATCTGATTTTTTATATTTTAGAGAACAAAATAACATTAATTTAATCTGGAAAGTACATATCACTTGGTATGTATCTTGGTCGCAGTAGTGACACAAAATTGGTTTCAATAATTCCTGTGTGATTGGGAATCATTGATTAAGAAAGTGAAATAAGAAAAATAACCTCGATCCTCAGTAGGAATTAGATTATATTAGGTAAATTTATAGGTCACCTATGTATGTGCTAATGAAAATGGGAAGAACCTTTACAAAGCATATTATCTGGTAAAACTTGAATAGAGTGGGTTTGGGAGAGCATCCTAATAGGACTAATGTGTCTTGTAATTGCTACGTGGGAGCAAGTGATGTGCCCCTTTCAGAACCTTAACTGTCAGTAACAGTGAGGGAACAGCAAACACCAGTGAGCAGAGCTGTGGTGGGCTAGGCTGGCTGATGGTGAAGCTCAGGCCGAGCACAGTGGAGAAGGAAGTCAGCAAACGCGGCGGGGCTGTCCCTGTGGTGGGAAGGTGCGTCCAGTGTCATGGATGAGGTATAGGTCCTGAAAGGAACCTCTCCTCTTTTGGATTCCATTCTCTCCAAAGAACCTGATAATAACCTGGTTTTCCATGTAACTGCCTCCAGGTAGGAAATGCTCTGTTCATGCTGATATAGGTGTTTCAGTCTGCATGGTAAAAGTTACACATCTTACTACAAATTAATAAACTGGTTGGTTTCTAAAGTGTCTTGGAGTTTTATTGTGAATCCAAAGCTCTCCCACCTCCTATTCACACCAGAACTTGGGTGCCACTTAAAGGGCTGGGTCTAGACCTCAGTTCACTGCAGAGCCTTCTTGGGCATGGCCATACCTTGTTTCTTGGTGCCTTTTCTAGGCAATAGTCTAGCCAGTGTGTAGTCTCAGTTGGGGTTGGCAAATGGCCTGTGGGCCAGGTCCAGCCCACGGCTTGTGTATTATTAAAAAAAACAAAAAAACAAAAAACGAAACCGGTTTGGCTCAGTGGATAGAGCTTCGGCCTGTGGACTGAAAGGTCCTGGGTTGCAGGCATATCTCCAGTAGGTGGTATGCAAGAGGCAGCTGATCAATGATTCTTATCGATGTTTCTAACCCTCTTTCTGTAAAAAATCAAATATATTTTTTAAAATGACAAACTTCAAATGACCCATAAAACCTACGATATTTATTATCTGGCTCTTTACAGACAATGTTTGCTACCCCTTGGTATACATCAGTGGTTTCATAACTTTGGTTGAAAATTAGAATCCTGCCGAGACCGGTTTGGCTCAATGGATAGAGCGATGGCTTGGGGACTGAAGGGACCTGGGTTCGAATCCGGTCAAGGGCATGTACCTTGTTTGCGGGCATATCCCCAGTGGGGGGTGTGCAAGAGGCAGCTGATTGATGACTCTCTCATCGATGTTTCTAGCTCTCTATCTCTCTCCCTTCCTCTCTGTACAAAATTAATAAAATATATTTTTAAAAAAAATTAGAATCCTCTAGGATACTTCTAAAAACTGATACCCAGGGCCATCCCCTGACTGGCTGAGTCAGACACTGGTTCTCTGTGAGGCCTTTTAGCTCCCAGGTGACTCCTAACAAGCAGCCAGTGCTGAAATCCACCGAGGTAAGAGTATCTGAAAAATACTTTATTCTTTCCCCTCATGGTTCCATTAACAATGTCCTGGTTAAGTCTGTATAAATATCAAATATAATGTACATGCATTAACTTTTTTACTTAGATGAATAATGGGTACGTGTACTGGTTATTGTTTAAAGCTATGGCTTATTTTTTCTTTTGCATTTTATAAACCTCTTTCCCCTTAGGCCTGAACCTGCTACATGATATGCAGCGAAAGTGTTAATGCAAATAAGGCAGTTTAGCAAATTGTCTAACAGCATTTGCTAGGAAATTACTTAAATCTCTGAGTTGGTTTTCTCATACTTAAAATTAGAGTATTTTCTCATCTCATCTGTAAAATCTTGACCATTCTGAAGGGTTGTATGGACTGAGAATTTAGAGCTTTTAGCAGGGTCGCTGGCACGTTGTGAACACTCCTTGGCTATCACTTGGATAATAAGAGGATTTTGGAAATGCAATTTTTTGGTGTCCCTGTGATGTGCAACATGCCATTTCATCAAAGACTCAAATTGGAACAGAGTCAAGGACAATGTTTTCTTTTTCTTTTTTCCTTTGTTGTTTAGTATCTTTATTCATAATGCCAAGGATTGACATGCAGAATTGATCTTTCTTATTATAAACTAGTTTTGTGAGGGATCTGAAATTTCCACCTATCATTGATGGGTTCTGGCACTATTATTGAAATCCACAAATTCAGTGAGCTAAACACCTGATGGCTCATGCCTCTACCTCAAAATGCGCACAAGGCAGGATACTGTCCTATGCTCCTAGTTTCGTGCTACACAGCTTATCTCTCTGCAACCCAACTTTGTCAGGGGGATATTAATTAACTAAATCAGGGTTTCTTAACCTTGTTATTGCCATTTTGGGCCAGATCATTCTTTTTTGTGGAGGATTGTCCTGTGTGTTGTATGTGTAGCAGCATCCCTGCCCTCCAGTTTGGCTCAGTGGATAGAGCGTCAGCCTGCGGACTGAAGGGTCCCGGGTTCGATTCTGGTCAAGGGCATGTACCTTGGTTTCGGGCACATCCCTGGTGGGGGTTGTGCAGGAGGCAGCTGATTCTCTCTCACTGATGTTTCTAACTAATTGTTTCCCTATCTTCCTTTCTGTAAAAAAATCAACAAAATAAATATTTTTAAAAATGGTTTGCTTAGGGTTGATAACTGCAGTTTATTGGCACATGGAGACAAGAACCCAGGTGTCTCTGAAAATCAGCTGCCTCTAAAGGTGAAGTTGAAATGGGAACAGTTCTGTTCAGTGTCTCGAGTCCTGTCACCAAGGGCCAGAGTAGCACTGCAAAGGGGACAAGCAAGAAAATCTCTGGGCTGAAACCGGTTTGGCTCAGCCGATAGAGTGTCCGTCTGCGGACTGAAGGGTCCCAGGTTCGATTCCGGTCAGGGCCATGTGCTTTGGTTGCGGGCATATCCCTGGTGGAGGGTGTGCAAGGGGCAGCTGGTCGATGACTCTCTCATCAATGTTTCTAGCTCTCTCTCTCCCTTCCTCTCTGTAAAAAATCAATAATATATATATATAATAATATATAAATCCTTGGTTCAGGATCCTGAGGAGAGGAACAGTTTAATTTACCATGCAGTGAAGAGGACATTTTTTCAGTGGGATGGATCAAGACTGTGTAGAAGGTAGGGGCAAGATAATGCTAACTCTGACTCAAGATTTAATACCCATGGCCAAGGCAGGGGTTAGTACCTTATTTTATCCCCCCTGGGTATTTTAGGGAATTGATAGTCCAGTGCAATGTTCCTGGTGCTAATACAGCTGCCAGGAAAGCAAACTTCCCACTGATCACTTGAGTTTTCACCCTCTGCTCCCTGCAGAGCCTGCTTAAGCCGTCTGCAGTATCTGAACGGGCCAATAGGTGGGGCTTTTGCCCTCTACAAGGAGCTGAACTGGACCAGTTAAAGCCTGACATTGTCATCATTCCAGTTACATTCAACAAACTCGGAATCTGCCATGAATTTTTGGATACAAGCCATGTGATGAATTAACAGGCCCTCATTTGAGGGCACTTGTTCTGGAGTGAGGAAAGGCCCTTCTGATTATGTGAGAGGTCACATGTGACCTGGCAGCCATGGCAGCCAGCTTGACTTGTAGGCGGTGTCTACCATGGAACCTCCATCTTTCCTCTCAGGTTCTACAGGGCACTGGAGTTCCTAAAAGGGGGCTCAGCCACATGTCCCCATTGCAGACCTGAGCCTTCCTAGGCCTAGGTGCTCAGAGGCCATGGCACTTGCCCATCTTCCCTTTCTCCCCTCCTCTCCCAACATAATCCCCTTTGGAGCTCAGGATTGAGAATACATACCAGGCTTCCACCTTGGAAGTGGGTTGGACGGTGGAAAGAGTACAACATTTCGATAAATTAGCCTGCCAGACACACATTCATACATTTAGCAAATATAAGTGCTTACTTATGTGCCAGGTACATAATATGTGATTTTGTGTCAGAGACTTTGAAGACACAATCATGAGTGAATAAAAAAACAGCTCCAGCAATCAAAGTTTACCTAGTCTAACGTGGGGCAAAGATATTACCCTGTTTCCCCGAAAATAAGACATGTCTTATATTAATTTTTGCTCCCAAAGATGCGCTAGGTCTTATTTTCAGGACATGTCTTATTTTTCCATGAAGAAGAATACGGTACACATTTATTGTTAAATGAAAATAAAGGAAATGTATTACCTGTATATGGTACAGTAGTATAGTAGTTGTCAACACAAACCAGACAAACTGAATCCTACAGTATCAAGAATTTGCCGAAGCCGGTTTGGCTCAGTGGTAGAGTGTCGGTCTGCAGACTGAAAGGTCCCAGGTTCGATTCCGGTCAAGGGCATGTACATTGATTGCGGGCACATCCCTGGTAGGGGGTGTGCAAGAGGCAGCTGGTCGATGTTTCTCTCTCATCGACGTTTCTAGCTCTCTATCTCTCTCCCTTCCTCTCTGTAAAAAAAAATATATATATATATATATATATATATATATATATATATATATATATATATTTTTTTTTTTTTTTTTTTTGAAAAAAAAATATATGAATGAGAATTTACTCATTTATTCAATGACAATCATGTCATCATCTTCTGGAAATCATCATAACAATCCAATTCCTGAATTTCCTGGTGAATTTCTTGTGACTCCATTTCTTTCAGAATCAGTGGACCAAATCTCTCATGTTTAGCCTAGGAGGGGGCCTTATTTTCGAGGGGATGCCTTATATTTCACTCAGAAGGAAACCTGTAAGTAGGTCTTATTTTCGGAGGATGTCTTATTTTCGGGGAAACAGTAATCCTCACAAAGTATAAATGTAAACTTCAGTGCAATGAAGGCAAAGAGCTATGAGAACATGTAACAGGGGAACTGACTCATGTTATGTTAGGACTTGCTCATGGATAGGGTAACCATGTAATTTATCATTTAGACTGGGATGCTTTTGAGAGTGAAAGGAAGAGCTGTTAGTAAATAGGGTGAGACGAACAGAGGTAAACAGACTATCCTAGGCAAGTCAGGACATGGTCACTGCAGTAATAAAAGTCTTTACTGAGTGAGACTTGAAGGTGAGAATTACTTAGGTGAAGGTGGTGACCTGTGCATTTTTTCCAGCTAGAAGGAACAGCATATACAAAAGCCTTTTGGTAAGAGAGAGCTTGATGAGAATTAAATGGAAAGAAGGTATACTAGGTGTATCAGTTAATGCGGATTTTGTAATAAAAGAAAACACAATAATTTCAAGAGTAACTTCAAAAGTGCTTTATTCAAAGGAATATCCATCGCTAGCTACATATTTCCCCCATCTTTCAGGTAATTTGTGGATACCATCCTGATAGAACTTTCCTTGTTTTGAGGCAAATGATTTAGAGACCCAATTGTCCACTTTTTCATACGTTTTGAAGTGCTGCTCAGAAAGTTCGTGTGCCATCATCGATCAGAACAAGTGGTAATCTGAAGGAGCAAGATCTATGGTGGGTGGATTAATACTTCCCAGACAAGATCTTTTATTAAAATATATATTTTATTGATTTTTTACAGAGAGGAAGGGAGAGAAAGTTAGAAACATCGATGAGAGAA